ACATCGGTCTAGCCGCAGACGGCCTATTAACTACATGTACATTGTAATTGTACATTGTACATTAATTAGTTAATTAACTATGCATTATTATTAGACATTCAACTGGATTATCCACTTCGATCCCCGAATCAGGATTAAATGAAATACCATTCCCAATACACTCCATTTCAATATTGAAACCATACAACATACAACATACAACTACATCAGTCATCAGTTTGGGTTCGGCCATGCGGGGGTTGGATGGTCCCTTCCGTTGCTCCGGGGTAAGCTTGCCCCTCTAAGATTTTGACTAAGATATGTCCGCCACCTCATTGGGGGGTTTCAAGTCGGGAAGAAACGCTAGTTCAACGGACCACGGCCTAATTGTTCTCGTGTCGAACCCTTTGTCCGAGTCCAATAGGCGGGGACGATAATGCCTCAGCCAAGGGCCAAGGTCCGGGGATGGTCGCGGGCCAGGGGAGTGCGGGCCACAGGAGACCTGCAAGTCAGTGACATTTGAAAGATACAAACGTATTGAGCCCCGAAGTAGGTCAGCCGCCAATGCAGGTCTTCAACTCCGTATACCGCATTCGAATATTTGAGGGCTCCGTACTCCGATTCCGTAAGTTATGGATTGTTTTCTTACCTTTTCTTACCTTTTCTTACCTTTTCCCCCCAGATTGTACCATGTTAGAATTCCCGTCATTTTTGAATTTGATATGTCATAATAATATATTATGATGTCAAAGAATTTTCGGACCGAATACCCCTCCATATAACTTCGTTTGCCATCGAGGCTCATCATGAGACCGGATCGCCGACCTCGGGCGCTCTGGGGCCAGGGCTGGAGAATGTGGGGGATGAGTCAGCTACACAAGCCGTCCTTTTGTGTTAGCGCTATTGGCGCTGTGTTGATCCGATGATCATAATCGTCTCAAACTTTGGCATTGACTTGATATTCAAATATTAAATATTGGTCCACTGTTCATACGAGGCTCCGTATTTACAATATGTTTTTTTTTTTTTCACTTCCCCTATTATTATTATCATTTTCAAATTTGGATTGTGTTGTGGGGAGTAAAATGATTGTGGGACAAAAGGGGGGTACCTTGCAGCCTGGGGGTTTCTTTAGTCTAAACTAGTACACATGGACGGAGTACCTTGTACCTTTTTTTCAATTCTTAAAGTTGTATTGGTTCAAATACTTATCGAAATGATCCTTGAATCTGAAACAGTCCAATGTTTACAAGTCTATCCTATTCCTGAGCACGGGTTAGGTGGTATCCAGCCTTAATGTGGTATGCATCATACATTTGACGGCGGGATCTTCGCCCCTCTGTAACTGCTACTGCACCATGAAGATCAGTGGAATACGAAATGAACATACAACATACATACTGCTCTAGCTGCTCTGTAAAAAAAAAGATGTTTAAGATCCACCTTTTCCCACTTGTTTCCCAACAAAAAAAAAAAAAGACGTGATGCCCCAGAACCCAAGACCATGCACGCTACACCGAGCGATCCGACGGGGTATCAAGCTGTATTTGTACGGAGTACTATTTACATTAGTACGATCGTTGGATAGTAGCGGGGAAAAATTCAAAATTATCCAATGACCACAATAGAATTTTCGATAACAAAGATTATTGTGGGACAAGTCCCTCGATAGACCGTGAAAGAAACCCGAGAAAAGACCGTATTATCTCCATGCTTTGCTCGATATTGCCCCAACAAAACAAACATCCAGCAAATTCCAATTCCACACCGTCGTGCTTCGAAACTTAACCTGTTGAGAAAGGTATTCCGCACAAAATCCTGTCCCGTGTGGTCCCTCTAAAAACACACAAGCGCCAAATCCATAATGCGGCTATCCTTGTCCTTGTCTATGTTGTAGACCAACGGCACGCTAACGCGTGGATCACACGACTTTCAGACATATCTGGAGGACTACTCCGTACGGAGTAGAGCATTATTAAGCTGGAAGCAGACTAAATCCGATATTAAAGAAAAGAACGCGGCTAGATCGCTACATCCTTGCCGCATAGTTTCCACCTGCTTGGAAGAGTGCGTGTCTTGTTCTAGTCCATTCGGTCATGTCGATTGTAGAGACGGGCCGGTCGCTTTAGCCTCGGTATCGGCTCGGTATAGTCGTCGGGCATCTTCTTGAAGCTTGTTCAATCTTCTATTTTAAATCGTTGGAGTGGGCGAGCGGATCATCGGGCGGAGTAGGGTGCGGAAGATGAAGAATCCAGGGCATGCGAAATGAAGACCGTCCGACTTGTAGCGCACTATACCGAGGCGGGAGGTGCAATCACCTCTCTTTCATCTTTCATCTTTGGACGGAGCCGACCCAAGGAAATCCAAGAATAATTCCTGAGCAGCACCTAGCGGCTTCATATTAGCTCTTGTCACCAGAGTAAGGGATATATGCCCGGCAAAAACGAGTTATAAGGGGGTTGTTTCTATCATCGCGTCTTGGGATGGTCTCGCTTGTTATTGTTCAGGGTATCGGACATTGACTTGAGGATCATTTTAGGGTCTATAGTAGTGTGGTTGTAACTACATACGCTCGCTGGTGATGCGGTCTACGGGGATGCTGATATGATGCGTCAACGTTTTAAAATTCTCCCGAACAAAACTTCAACAATTGCTTCGTCTGCTTGCATTTTTGACAGGTTTTATTTCCAACCTTTTCTAGGGTTGGTAGGTACATGTAGTTTTAGTAAGATCTTTAGGGTTCGCAAGATGTTGCGGGAAGGCGTCCCCGCGATGAGCCGTTGACCTTGGAACCAATAACCTTAGGTCTTTTCGGTCATTACCTAGCAAAAGTTCGATCATATAGTCGAAATACCTGGTTAAAGCCTTCGATCATTGCTGCGACCGTATCCACACCTGTTGTGAGAAGGCGCTGTCAGTCATAGATTGGTGACTGGTCTCGGTCCTTGAACCCAGTAAAGCCCTTTTATATTCTACTCTTCAGCTCCCGCTGTCTGCTTGAACTTCCATAAGTTCTTTCAATAGACTGGTTGTTTGACTAGTGCCACTTTGTCTGCAAAATGTACAGCACAAAACGCGCAACACGCGCCCTTCATTCCAATGCCCGGCGGTTCTCTACTGCCATCCGACTACAAGCACCATCAGGCCTCAAGATCAATTCAGAGCGCTTATGGAACACGCTGCACGAGTCATGTGAATGGGGTGCTGAGCATCGCTATGGCGAGTATGTACCCATTTTCTATGCGACTATTGAACACGATCTAATGATGCAACAGAAACCCAACAGATACAGGGATGGCCCGTCTAACCCTCAATGACGATGATACCCGTGTTCGAAGGTGGTTAGCTGCCGAAGTCCAGAAGCTGGGCTGCTCTCTTTCTGTGGACCAAATGGGAAACATGTTTGCACGGCAACCAGGCCGGTTGAACTCGGCTGCTCCAATGATCGCAATGGGAAGTCATCTCGACACCCAGCCTCGGGGTGGTCGATATGATGGTATTCTCGGTGTAATGGCTGCACTTGAGATCCTTCGGACGATGAAGGAAAGTAGGTTCCAGACTAACTATGATGTCGGAGTGGTCAATTGGACCAAGTAAGCGTCATAATTTGTTTTATCGTGCCATTTAGAATTGACACTAATAATGAGTCCACAGCGAGGAAGGTGCACGATTTCCCAAATCAATGTGTTCCTCGGGTGTATGGGCTGGTGCCATCCCAATCCAAAAAGCCTGGGATCTGCGCGATATCCACGATCCCAGTGTGACTCTCCGCTCCGAGCTTGAAAGACACGGATATCTGGGCGACATTGCTTGTTCTAGCGATCCAGCAACCGGATACCCTCTCGGAGCCCATTTCGAGCTGCACATTGAGCAAGGCCCAATTCTCCCAGAAAACAACCGATCAATTGGTGTCGTTCAGGGTGCCCAGGGATACAGATGGTTGACTATGACCGTTCACGGAAAAGATGCTCACACTGGGACGACACCTTTTAGCGCCCGTCAGGATCCACTGCTTGCATCCTCTAGGATGATTGCCGCTTCGCATGATATTGCCAAGCGACACGACGCCCTAGCCTCGACTGGTATTATTAGAGTTCCATCGAACGCATCTACGAACACCGTCTCATCGCAAGTGACTTTCACTCTTGATATCCGACACCCGCAGGATAGTGTGGTACATGCCGTCCAGGACGAATGTCTCAAAGCGTTCGAGGCTATTGCATTGCAAGATGGCAAGGGCGTTTCATTTGACTGGACGTTGGATACGGACTCGCCCGCTGTCAAGTTCGACGACAACTGCGTGGCGTCTATACAGGCTGCGGCGGATCAGCTGGTTGGCCGTGAGAAATCGATGCTCATGACTAGTGGCGCGGGTCATGATACTGTTTATACTAGCAAGCACTGTCCCTCTGCGATGATCTTCGTTCCTTGCCGGGATGGTGTGAGCCACCATCCGACTGAGTATTGCAGTCCGCAGGATTGGTAAGTCCCTCTAATTTTCCTTGGAGATTTTTCAAAACCTGACAGTCGCAGTGCTCTGGGTACGCAAGCTCTTCTTGAAGCTGTTGTTCACTACGATCAATTTAGGGTAGAGGCCGAAGGGCAAAAGTAATCGGCATTTTCAGTTTTATTGGTATTAAACTAGATAGATTTGACTATTTTATATGATAATAAATTTTCTTTGAAATCTCTCCTATCACTAGACAAAAGAAGTATGTGGATATAAGAAACCGCAAAGTATGCCTGTTGTACGTTTGTACCAAACTGTACACAAGCGCTAGTGCCGAATTCAAGATAAATAATCGTGCCCAATGGAGCAAGAGAATAAAAATCTTAAATTCTCTCATCAAATCCCACAAAATGTTGTAGTTGATGTTGTGAGAAGGCGGAGTCCCCACTCGACCCGACATGTCGTCAGAAGGCGCGATGTCTTTAGAAGGCTCAAGATATTGGAGATGACACGGTGATAAATAAAGTACCTGCATTGTGCACAGATCAATTATATGCGAACGCACATCAACATGTCATCACGAAGGTCGATCTACTTCAACCCCGCGGCTGCAAATGAAAGCATTGCCTCCCCGCAAATCGAAGGCCTAACAGCATTCCACCAATCCTTCCCCAACTATGCCCCAACTCCACTAGTCCAACTCCCAGAGCTCGCAGCCGAGCTAGGCGTTGGCCACATCCTCGTGAAAGATGAAAGCAACCGCTTCGGCCTACCGTCATTCAAAGTTTTGGGCGCGTCATGGGGTTGTTCCCGAGCGATTGCAGCGCACCTCGGCCTGCCCTCTACGGTCTCGCTGGATGAACTTTCAAGCCGAGCAAAAGAATTCTCGATTGTTTTGACGACAGCCTCGATGGGAAACCATGGACGGGCAGTTGCATTTATGGCTCGACTCCTCGGCATCGAGGCGCGGATCTTTGTTCCTCGGTCTTTGAACCAGTGGACTCGGGATCTTATCGCCGGGGAAGGGGCTCGGTTGGTTGTTGTTCAGGGCGACTATGATCAGGCCGTACAGGAGGCCGTCAATGAGGCGCGTGTGGGACAAGGTGTACTTCTAATCCAGGATACGGCGTTTGAGGGGTATGAGGATGTTCCTACGTGGATCGTGGAGGGCTACTCTACTATGATGCATGAAGTCAAGAACGAACTTGCTCGGCTTGGTCTGGCGGGTAGTCTGATGATCACCCCTGCTGGTGTGGGTAGCCTTGCGCATGCAGTCGCGAAGCACTGCAAGTCGCAGAGCCCGCCTATATCTGTCGTCGCTGTCGAGCCTGACACGGCTGCGTGTCTGTCTTCTAGCTTGACTGCTGGGAAACCAGTTACTGTCCAGACTTCTTCCACGATCATGGATGGTATGGACTGCGGCACAGTATCTTCTACGGCCTGGCCTGATATGCAGCGTTTGGTTGATGCTTGTGTCACCGTCTCATCCTATGAGAGCCATAGCGCCGTGCAGTATCTGACTTCCAATTCCGTGGCAGCGGGGCCATGTGGAGGTGCATCATTGGCTGCACTGCGACGGCTGGCTGTCTCAAATGAGGCTGCGTCACTTCTGAACAAGGATTCTGTGGTCATTCTTCTCAGCACTGAGGGTGCACGCGAGTACCCAGTTCCAAAAGACGTCGCTGTTGACGATGTCGTGGGACTAACTCAAACACTCACTCAAATCAACTCTTCTAACCCAACCTTGTCTGTAACAGACGGGGTGGGTGAGACCGAAATCGCAAACTACCTTGCTGCCTGGTTTGCCCATCGGGACATCGAGTACCACTGGATTGAGAAGGTCGCTGGACGACCATCCCTTGTGGGAGTCTTGCGAGGCAGCGGAGGTGGCAAGTCTCTCATGTTCAATGGTCACACAGACACCGTAAGTCTCTCCAGCTATGAGGCAGATCCCCTGTCCGGGTCTATTGGAACCAAGAATGGAAAAGAGGTTATCTTTGGTCGAGGCTGCCTCGACATGAAGGGAGGTTTGGCCGCAGGGTTAGCTGCCCTTGCAGCAACAAAAGCTAGTGGCCGCGTACCTCGGGGTGATGTCATTGTGGCTGCAGTATCAGACGAAGAGGATGCCTCACAGGGAACTCAGGATATCACCGAGGCTGGCTGGCGTGCTGATGCTGCTGTACTTCCTGAGCCAACCCAAGGCGTGATATTTACCGCCCACAAAGGATTTGTGTGGGTGGAGGTTGATATCTTGGGAGTTGCTGCGCACGGGTCCGATCCTGTGTCAGGAGAAGATGCCATCATGTATGCCGGATCCTTCTTGCAGGCTTTGGAGAAGTACCAATCTCAGCTGCCAGTCGATAATCTCCTGGGTCAGGGTTCGCTACACTGTGGCTTAATTCGGGGTGGCGAAGAGCCTTCCTCTTACCCAGATAAGTGCACTATCACTGTCGAATTCCGCACTGTCCCAGCCCAAACGGAGCAGGCTATCTTAGGAGATATCAGCGCGCTGCTGAAAGAGATAGCGGAGCAGAAGGCTGGTTTCAAATATGCCGAGCCGCGCATTACCATGTCGCGCCCTACACAGAAGGTGGCAGCTGATCATCCGTTCGTGGAGAGGGCGATTGCTTGTGCCTCTGCTGTGCTGGGGAGCAAACCTGCCGTTAAGGCTGGTCCGTTTTGGACTGATGCGGCATTGCTCGGTGCTGTTGGTATCCCCTCAATTGTGTATGGCCCTGCAGGAGAGGGCCTTCATGCTAAGGAGGAATGGGTCGAGGTTGAGAGTCTTCAACAGTTTGAGAAAGTGTTTACTCGGCTTGTGCAAGACTTTTGTAATTGAATATAGATGTCTATATATGTGTGAAGCTAAAAGAACATACCCAAATCATTTCGCCATGTTTCCCTTGGATTTCAACAAGATTCCAACTGACTTATCCAGCAAAGCTCCTCGTACCTGCTTGATATTGTGTACATCAACCTGATAACCTAGCGAATTGATCCTCAAATCCATGCAGCTAAACATAGCATAATAGAAAGCGTTACTTGGTGAATTGAATGCTTTTAATGGAGACAGCCAGGCGTGGCCGTTGATTCTTGTAAAGGAAGTGTTGTGGCTGGTGTTCTTTATCGCCACGGGACTACACAGCCAGGCCCGATCGGCAACATCCAGATCGGCCACCTTCGCCAGACGACATCCCACTTATAATCGCTACTATCTAGCACACCATCTCGTTATTTCCCAATTTCCAGCAACTGTGATCTACTTTCTTGATCCCACAACGATGGCAGACGAATCACCAGCACAGCGATCGGCACGAGTGCGCCGCGAGCGCCGTGAGGCAAAGATCAAGGAAGGAGGCTCAGCGCGCCTGGACAAAATCACCAGTCTGAGTGGACGCACGCCACAAACTGGTAAGTAATGACAACCGCATCCCTGGGTCTAGCCAAGCAGCTTCCGGTAGCAAAGCAGACATGTCGTCTCATCAGCCACGCTAGCACACACAATGCTAACTGAAGTCAATCACCAGAACGCGAAGAAGCCTCCCCATCCCCTCAACCTCAGCGTGCAATCTCCGCATCACCCTCTCCAGCACCACAAATCCCCAATCCCCAATCCTCAGCTTCGCCCCAACCAGACATGCAGTCACCAGAAGCGATCCGCGCCCAGCAGGAAGCGTTCTTCTCGATGCTCCGACAAGCCGCACCGGAACCTGGCCAGGGCGTGCATCCCGACCCGCAAGCCCCAAATGGCCTCCAGGCCCAGCAAGAAGCCTTCCGCGCTATGTTGAGACAATCCGTACAGGACCAAGGCCAGGCCCAGTCGCCCGGCGACGCTGAAGACCCCACCATCAAACTCCTGAACTCTCTCATGGGTGCTATACCCGGCGGTGACCCCAATGCTCCACCAGGAGCACCCGCAGGCAACCAACCGGCACCTGGATTCTCGCCCGCTGCTATCGCATCAATGCTCGGTGTGCCGCCTTTCCTTGCCAATATGCTGGGTGGAGCGACGCCGCCGACAGAGGCGGAGCAGAAGCGCGCTCGGATTTGGAAGACGCTGCACACCGTCTTTGCATTGACAGTTGCTGTTTACCTGCTGTTCATTATTGGGACTTCGGTTGCGTTGTTCGGCAGTCCCCCGCCAAAGCCTGCGACGGCACAAAATCCCTTTGCGATCTTTGTGACGGGAGAGTTGCTGTTGACTGGGGGTAAGGTGTTGCTTGATGGGAAGTCTGGTGGTATGGGAATGGTAGTGCAGCTTTTCAGAGATGTCGTGAGGGATGGTAGCCTCCTGCTGTTTATGTTGGGCATGGGCACTTGGTACAATCGCGAATGGCAGACTACGGCATACTAGGATAGCTTGGATATGTAGCTTTGTTAACGATCAGCGGGGTATGAGCATTTAAATGGCATGTATTATGTGATCATTATTTCATCATTCATCATTCGTATACAACTTTTGATAGACGCTAAGCAGGCATGTTTACCACGGCCCGCTGGGATGGTAGGACCGCGTTACGTAAAACACTTAGGGCAGATGCATCCAGACCCCAATCACCTTCCCATTGATTCATACGAGACCCTTTCTTGAAGTGGTCCGTCAGATGCTCTGCCCGAGCTGACCAGGTAGACAGTGAACATCCACAGAATCCACAGCGGCTTTCGACGTTGGCGCCCGATCCGCGCCAGGCTTCGAGGTCAGCCACGGGAGCTTTGGTGCAACCGTGGAATTTGCGCAGGTGTTGCCATAGATAATCCTTTCGACTGAATGAACGTTCTTGAGCAGGCTTATCGGCACAGACTTGGAATTCATGCTCTTCCCAATGGGCGGGCGTTGGGGAAAGGAAATCGCAGAAGGGGCATTCAGAAAGCTGGAGTTCGAACGCTTGTTGGACGTCGTTGATATTTGGTGTGCAGATCCAAGAGTCAAGGGTGATATGGACGCTTTTCTCGTGGCGGGCCCAATCATGTTTCTTTTTGAAAGACTGCGTACAGAATGTGCACTGGTAATGATAGTCTCCCGCTGGTCGTTGCCGTCCTCGGATGCGTTTGGGTTTAGTTTGTTTGGGGAGTAGTGGGAATGGCAGCCCCGTGTCTGCTGAGGAATGATAGCTCCATGCTGAAGAGGCGCTATCGGATGTCTCAGATGCCTTGCTCCCAATGCTCGATACTGACGATGCCAAATGTGACGAGGTCTGGTCGAAATTGAAGAAACCCATGGTCGACCTATCGAGCTGGAACGGGTCAATACTGCCGTCCGACTCTATTGAGCTAGAGGCAATGGCGGTTTGAATTGCTGCTTCTGGAACAGGTTCGTCGTCTGGCGGGGAAGCCTGCCATCGCTCCATAGGAGTCAGGGACGACAGCGTGCTGGTGACCATGGGGGAACCTGAACGAGTACGGGATGTTGAAGAAAGTCCCGCACTCTGGATCTTTTGCTTTTGGCGGCGGCGAGCGTTCGCAAACCAGGTTGATATGCGCTTTTGGGAGAATCCAGTCTCGTGGGCCATCTGGGTCTTTTGTGCATCTGTTGGATAAGGGTATTCTTGATTTTGATAGAACCATTCGCGAAGAACTCTAGCTCCTTTCCTGAGAAACTGTTTTGGTTCTTTTCGTTCCTCGCTATTGTCTATAGTGGTAGCGGGTAATGGGTTTCCATCTTCCGGCACACCGTGGAGATGACCTAAGACCGGAGAGAAAGTTTCAAAGCCCGACGGGAGGCGTTTCTCTCCCTTTGCTAAACTGCATTCCCGAAAAAGGGCTACGCAGCTTGAGCAGGCATTTTTGGGATTTGGATTGGCAGGTGTAGTGCGGATGATCAGACATTGTAGCCGATTCCTACGACAATAGGCACATGATACAGGAGGACGATGTGCCCCATCAAGCCACTGGGAGACATTGGTAAGACTTTGTTGCGACAAGGATTGGCCAACATATTCTCCTGCTAAAGGCGGAGCAGATTCGTATAAAATTTCAGAGATCTTTAATTCTTCATAGTCTTCATGTCCAGGCTGTGCATCGGCGGTTGGTATGAGGTGTGACTCAGAATTGGTCCACTGCGCCCATTCCAGATCACTGAGGTCTGAGGGAAATGGTTGGAATGCGTAGTCAGTATTTGTATCAAAAGAATGGTCCTCTTGCATCCATTGGGTTGGCTCATTTGCATCTAGCATGCCTTCCAGCTCTATATCTGATAGAGGCTGTGGCAACGGCTGCCATGATGAAGGGCTGATGGGTGGCGGCTGTGGAGTCATGCCATGTATAGTGAGAAACGGAGTCACTGACACGTTATATAGTAAGCCCTTTCTTGTATATCGATTTTATAGTTTTAAAATCCAGAAGTTGCTTGGTTGGACCCCGTCTCGTTCATGCCTCGCCGTTAACTTACCGATATCGATGGGGGTCGCTGACGAGTCTGCGCTAACCCATATTGGGACATGGAATGTTCTTCGCCCCACTAGTCCAAGAACGGCAGGTACACATCTGGGCCATCTGCACAGCTATTACTAAGCTTTCACTTCGCCCCCCGGGGGCCCTCGGGGCCCTGGGCCGATCTCGGGAACCAAGATTGGATCCGCAGAAAATTTGTGGCCTCAGGCGTATGTGTTCGCCACGCCTACTAGACTTTCTTTAGAGTCTCCTTTCCGATTCATCCGTATCGCTCTTCATAAATCCTCGAAGTGACTTTAGATTATGCACGATTTAGATTATGCACGATTTAGATTATGCACGAAAAAGTCATCGTAGTTCAAAGTTCCCGAGTTCAGAGTTTCCGAAATCATGCTTGTACTGATGACTATGTTTACTTGATACCTCAAGTGAACACTCCTCCACGAGATAGCAGGCCGTGCCTGAATGGAAGCAAGGCCAACATTCTGGTCTAAACCAGAGCCTATATGCTCCCGGGAGGCTCTAATGAACCTTTTTTATGGATATCAATCTAGGCCATGTTGCTTATCAGAATTAAGCTTATCTTATGTTATCCAAAACTCAAAGCTCGGTCCCATCAGAAGTGGAACTATCACATACTAGGCAGGATACTAATACTTTGGAATCTATAGTCTGGGGATTCATAGGCGAATTGGAAAAGGCATAGAGGTTGATGTGGCATCAACGGTGGTAGATTCAGATATTAGACTTGGGGTAGAAATGTCGGTACATAAATAGAGTACATAATTGAATCCACACCGGGGTGGGAGACACCGGAGTTGGCCCTCTCCTCCGTAGTTTGGGTGGGGCATTTTTGAGTCGCCACCCGGTGAGAAGGCAAATTTTATTTGGTGAGCAGCCGGAATGAACCCGACCTCGGGAGTCCCGGTGAAGACAAAGATCTCCCGAAAAAAAAGGTTATTCGATATAAAAGTAAAAGCCACAATTTAGTAACTCTCAATATCTACTTCGTAGGTACATACAGCAAGATTTCACAAAGTTCCCCAACAAATACTAAACCTTAAAACGGGAATGGTGATCGTCACTCTAGCTGTGTGTCAACGATCAGGCAATGTAGGCTACGATGTAGTACCGGGTGGGACTCGGGGTAGACTGGGGCAGATTTAGCTTTTGCGACCAATTTCTATCACCAATCTTAATGAGTCAGCAAGACAAACTCAGCACTGACATTGGTCAATTGGTGGCTGGATCTCCGGATTCGGACCGAACCAAAACAGTCATTGGTGTGAATTCGTCGGGTTGCATCGAATTTCTGTGGAACCTTCCATTTCTTCCCATGGGGCAAAATCGCCCTTCGGCACGCGAGAAAATCGGGGAAACAATAAGATGACCAGATTTCCCACATAGGTTTCTTCTTTCCTCGTGGGAATCTTAATCTTTTACACCCATCTTCTTCAACACTTCCAGACTCCTCTGCTTTTTCAACTACACAGAATGGAGGTCAACACAGCACCACCTGCTTACGAGCAGGATAAGATTGCTGAACGGAAGGATATGCCACAATTCGAAGAGGAGGGTCAGCTCAAGGCTGGTGAGGTCCACGATGCTTTTGGCAACGAGGAGTACGCCGAGATCAAGTATAAAACCTTGAAGTGGTGGTATGTATCATCGGGAACTCAGTATCTGATCGACCGTTGCTAACGTATGGTGTCTTCAGGCAATGCGGCTTGCTCATGATTTGTGAGTCGGTTTCACTGGGTGTGTTGTCACTGCCCGCAGCCGTCGCTACACTGGGCCTTGTCCCTGGTGTTATCCTGATTATTGGCCTCGGAATTCTCGCAACATACACTGGATACAATATTGGCCTCTTCCGCGAACGGTACCCTCACATTCAAAACCTGGGTGATGCCGGCGAGATCTTGCTAGGCAAGTTCGGCCGTGAGCTCTTCGGTACTGGCCAGTTCCTCTTCTGCATTTTCGTCATGGGCAGCCACATCCTGACCTTCCGCGTCATGATGAACACCGTCACCAACCACGGCACCTGCTCCATTGTCTTCAGTGTCGTCGGTATGGTTCTCTCAATTGTCCTATCCATCCCCCGTACGATGAAGGGTATGACTTGGATCTCGTTTGCATCATTCCTCAGCATCTTGTGCGCGGTCGTGATCACCATGATTTCCGTGGGAGTGCAAAGTCACCCCGGTCGTGTCATCCACGCCACAGTTGACACCAACCTGTACACTGCGTTCCAGGCTGTTTCAAACATCGTCTTCGCTTACTGCGCCCATGTCGCTTTCTTCGGTTTGATTGCCGAGATGGAGTCGCCCCAGGATTTCAAGAAGTCCTTGTTCATGCTCCAGGGCTTTGAGATCTCCCTCTACCTGACCGCCGCCGTTGTGATTTACTTCTACATTGGTTCAGATGTCCACTCCCCTGCCCTCACGTCCGCTGGCCCCCTGATGAGCAAGATTGCCTACGGCATTGCTATCCCCACTATTGTCGGTGCCGGTGTCGTCAACGGCCATATCGGCTTGAAGTACATCTACTTCCGCCTCTGCGCCAAGTCGGATTTGATGCACCAGCGCAACAAGCGTTCCGTCGGTCTCTGGATTGGTCTTGGTGTGGCTTGCTGGGTCGTTGCGTGGATCATCTCCGAGGCTATTCCTGTCTTCAGTGACCTGAACGGTCTGATCAGTGCTCTTTTCGCTTCCTGGTTCAGCTACGGTCTCTCCGGTATCTACTGGCTCCACCTCAACCGCGGCGAGTGGTTCGCCTCTCCCCGCAAGATCTTCCTCAGCATCCTCAACATTGGCATTGCCTGCTTCGGTCTGGCGCTGTGCGTTCTTGGCTTGTATGCTTCTGGCACCGCTATCAACAAGAACTCCAACAGCAACAGCTTCAGCTGTGCCAACACTGATACTTAGATGGCTCCATCTTGCTTCATCGCGCTGCATATTGCTTCATATTGCTCTATCTTGTTACCATTACACGCACTGTATATACATCGCATATAGATTATGCTTAGAGCACACTGGTTGGCTCTAGAAAATAAATAATAGATTAAAATATCCTGAACCTGTTCTCATTATATCAGATTAAATGCCTGAGACCAAGAAAGTTCAATCTTACCATCGTAGACACCCAGCGTGTTGATCTCCAGTTTGCAGGTTTTCGGTGCCCCTAATCCATACCAGACAGAAGCAATTGAAGTTCTTATAAAGAGCCATAACAACCAGCTCTAGGTAGTCGGGACACTTAAGTTTCCCTGGGTTGAGAAACACAGTCTTAGTATGGCCTATGCTAACGGGGCACTTCTACGAATTCTCCTCGCCCAAACTCGCCAATATATGCATCAGTCCGTTTGCATGTAAGGGTGGGTTTCTGACCACCTAATGAAACTATCGCCCTACATCTGTATCTTATTATGTGCCTAACGTTCTTACTCGGAAAAGCAGAGAAGCGGCATACGCGAGAGCAGCGAGAGGCACAACTTGGATATGTAACTCGAAAAGAGATGAAAGAAGGATAATAAAAGGATAATGTGCCAGAAAGAGTCTCCAGATACTTTGTAGTTGAAGTTGAAGAAGTATGTAGAAGTCGAGAATGAAGATATTCTATTTAACATGTCGTAACCTATCATTATCACTCTTTCTATTGTTCACGCCTACAAGTACCACCGCGATCTCCAACCCCCCTCCACTTCTTCTCTTCGCTTCTTCTCTTCACTTCTTCTCTTCCTCGCATTTGCCTCAAGTCAACAATCATGCCTTTCAGAAAACTCAGGAAGAATAGAAAAAGATGGGTTCCTTTCAGAGCGAGACGTACCATTTCTCGCCCAGAATTCCAGAAGCTAGTCCGACCACCAGCAGGTCATATCCATCGGTCTCAAATCTTCCCTCAAAACGGAAAGGCTAAACTGCCTCAAGTGGCTGAAACTGAGATGGCTTCGAAAACCCCCCAGGTCCCCTCGTCGTTGGAAAACCTACCATCTGAGATCCGACGTCATATTCTCTCAATGGTGAACGTTGACAGTCTCAAGGCCCTGGTGCAAGCCTCTCCCGTTTACTTCCATCAATACCGACTAGATCGCAAGCTTTTACTCTGTCAAAGTCTGGAGTCGACATTGGGCAGCGTGACTGCTGATGCCTATGCAGTCCACAGGTCCAACTCCATTGGATTTTCAGGGAAACGCACCACAGAAGGAGTTCAAGCTTTCATTACATTCTACCGCACAATCAGGTCTCAAGCCTGGTCTTCACCTCTCCACAAAGTTGTCAGCACGAGAGGGGTCACATCCATGATCAAATTTCACTGCTCGATTATTCAACCCTTGATGCGATGTTTTGTGACACAAGCATTGAGCAAGCTCACCAAAGTGAAGAAAGGATCCCAGATTGAAGAGACTTTGAGCAGGACAGAAGAGACACGACTGATGCGCGCTTTTTATCGATACCAACTTTGTCACAATCTCTATAGCCTCGAAACGAGAGAGTTTTATCCCTCTGCGGACTGGCTCTCTATCTCCAATCGCATTCAGAGTGACTTCTTGTGCATCTTTAACCCCTGGGAGGCAGAGGAGATATCTTGTATTAGTTACTTCTCCGAAAGAAAGCACAAGCAGGTCCGCGACAATCTTTACTTGCACATGGACCACATGGACCGGGAGAAGTTCGACTTTAATTCTGATGTTCACGACAGTAAGTCGCGCTGGATGAGTCCATCGGTTTTGGAATTTCCAATTTGAGATCCATTTTGCGGTTTGAGAAATACTAATTTTGACTTTGAAATAACAGAAAACCGTGATAGTGTGCTCAAGACACCGATGCCCCGCGGCCTCGAGATGCTACACTTCATCTATGTCAAGATCGAATCTCGTCACAACATGGTTACCAGGATGCAAAGTTTCATTATCCGGTCCCTTAGCAACTTGCTCAATGATCCTCACTACGCCTTCGATGGACACTTACAAAGGTATCAACAATGCGCTCAGCCTGAGAACTCGCTCATCTTCCAAGGTGACCAGTGTTTCACACTTCCACCGCTGGCCTGGACGAGGGTGTGTGGTGGGGGTGGTTACAAATATTTATTTCAGGGGTTCCCTCCATCCGCCTTTCGCCAATGGGGATGGGTCATGTGGGACGCAGCCCGTTTCGAGCGCCTGGGCGCTGACCATTTGATGATGCAACAATGGAACGAGGAGAGCCGGCATCACTTTGGGTATCCGTACTGGTAGCTAGAAGCAAAGACACTCTCTATGGTACGATGTTGATACTTGGCCATTTGATATTATCAAATCTAAGAGACCAAGACATCCTCGAGTTTTTTTTTTTTGCCAGAGTCAAAGCCAGATTGCAGGAATTAGTTTATCCTCATATTGCATGTAGTGAACAAAAATATCTAGGGGGGTTGAAGTGTTAGATAAATTATGACTTCCAACAGCCTGTATGCCTTGAAACCTACGACACGATCGTGACTTGTTATCGAATAGCTTGCTGTCGATTTAGCAGAATTCAATCAGCCATGCATCAAGGTATCTTTACTTGAGGGTGAATTGCCAATGCAACTGTGATGGTAATGATTATGGGAATGACTGTTCGGATGAGTAGATAGTAGATGGCCACTCCTCTTGCATGGTCCTTGAAGGATAGGTGAGTGCTACCTAATACTGTATTATTTCACAGTGGAGCGCCCTATTTTAACTTCATGGACCGGTGTTTCCAGCCTTTAGGGTTACTGGGGCCGATGTGCCGGCGACTAGACTATAGGCAGTATAAATTTTCAACTTATAGATAAGATTCTCTGCGATGCATTCCATTAATTACAATGTGTCAGTCTTAAGTTATATGTATAATCCCAGCAAGCAAAACCTCAGCAGCTAGTTCATCTCAAGCACCATCCTCATCAGTATGTAACAGTCACATTCTTGTTCACATACTTCGCGTCGATTTTCAAGACAAGATTCTCGGCGAGCCACCTCCCCGCATCCTCCCGAGAGATAGTATACCCAACAGTTCTAGACTCCGGACCAGTCTTGGGATCCTCGATGCCCACACGGATAGTCTTGTTCGACTCGCCATCAGTGAGGTGACTAGCACGGATGATTGTGAATGTTTCCCCGCTCTTCGCAAAACGGTCTTCCATGACTACCTTGTCTGCTCCGGGGACTTTGACAAACAGGTAATAGACAGGCACCATAGCGACAGGAACATCGCGACCGAAGCGGGAGAAGCCCACTGTACTGCAAGCGATTATGTGGGGATTTCCGGTAATGCCGGTACTTCGAAGCTGGGCAAGGGTATCTAGCAGAGTTGCTGCGCCTTTCTTGCAGACATCCGGATCGTCAACTGTCATTCCACGTGGCTTGGCGCCGATAGTGGACACGATGACATCGACGATGCGGCCATTGTCGGCTTGGAGGCACTGCGATACGGCGGTGATATCGTGTGCATTGCCTTTGATAACTTTCAGATTTGGTGTTGACCCTGAAGGGAAGATGGCAGTGAGTTTAGAGGGATCACGGCACAGCGCAATACATTTGTGTCCGGCAGCGAGAGTGCGTTTGAGGGCAGCAAGGCCAACACCGGTGCTGGCGCCAAGAAATGCAACGGACTCGATGTTTGACGTCATCGTTTAGATGGGCTGTGGTTGCTCAAGTAGCGAGGTATTGGAAGGCTGTATTCTGATGCAAGAGATAATAGAGGCGAGATGGATGGCTTCTTTCAAGTGTCTTGGACAGGACGATGACCTTCATAATATAGATTTTTGCATTGCATTATGAAAAAAGCGAAAGCTATCCGAGCTGAGGCAGCAGGTCTCGCTCTTTTCTCGCGACTCGTATTAGCACAATAGTGGGGGGAATCCGAAGCTAACAAATCGAGGCTGAAATGCCTTTCTCTCGTTGGTTGTCCCACTCTATTTATGCTGAGTCAGACATCCAACGCTTCCTGGCCTTGCCGTTTGCCTAACGAGATCAAGATAATCTGGGTTCTGCTCGACCCGTTTGTGGTTAATCACTTGCGAAAACAAGCTCAATACGGTCCCAAGATGCCCGAAGAGCCTCCTGTCACACTCTCCGGGCCCCTTGGGGGCGCGCTCGCCTCGGCCTCGGACGCCGAGAAAAACGCGAGATTTGACACCTCAGGCAGAAACGGAAATGCACCCCTGAAGCTGCGCAGCTGCGTAGTATGCCGAAGTCGGAAAGTCCGCTGCGACAAGCGAGCGCCCTGTTCCAACTGCCGTCGCGCAAATATCGCCTGCGTGCGTCCACCAACAGACCGTCCGCCAAGATGGGCTCGGCATCTCGATCGCCTCGATAGTGCGGTATCCAGCCTACAGGCCTCCCAGGAACCTGAACCAGTAGCAGAAGACGTGATGGAGAGACTTCATAACCTTGAAAGCCTTGTTCAAGAGCTCCGCATTCAGCTGGAACAGGCCAAATCAGTAGTAAACTCTGCGGCTGAAGGGTCGTCCGGGGTTGGTTCGCCCGAAGGCTCCGCTCATGATCGACAGTCGAACCCATCTTCCATTAATACTACGAATGTGCAAACTAAATTTGGGAGACTGGTGCTTCAAGATTCTAATCGAAGCCGCTACGTAAGCAGTGGCTTCTGGTCTCGGGTCAATGACGAGGTATGTCGCCTTGGTTTGCGTACATTGCTGCACGGAATGAATAGCAGGCTAATTTCTATTGTAGCTCGATGGTCTCAAGGCAGATGCTCGGGGTCTTCCATTAGGAGAATCTGATACCTCGGATGATGAGGCATCGCCGGATATGACCCCTTCCACGCAAGAACTAGACCGGACCCCTGCAGAGCGTCATGGATTTTTGTTTGGGCACAATTTGAGTCCTTTTTCTCCTAATCTCACAGACCTTCATCCACTTCCATCTCAAATTCCCTTTCTTCTAGACGTGTTCTCTGAAAATGTGAACATCATCTTTCAAATCGTTCATCTTCCTACTATCAAGAACATGGTTCGCGATTGGCGCGCCCGTGAAATGAAGGGACTCACACCGGCCAATGAAGCTTTGATGTTCGCTATATACTATGCTGCCGTCACCTCGATGGAAGAAGAAGATGTAAGTCAAATCCTTACGCGTTTAAAGTACTGACAAATCCAAGCATGCGGGTCCCATGCTCACGTTTCGGTACATTTAGATAGCACTTAATTTTGGAGCCACCAAAGCCGAGCTCAATCTCAAATATCGCCAAGGACTCGAACATGCTCTTGCAAGAGCTGATTTTCTGAATGTACCAGATCTCGTCCTTGTGCAGGCATTTGCCATCTTTCTTACTCTTGCTCGCCGACATGACAGTCCAAGATTTGTGTGGATGATGACAGGACTGCTAATCCGAATGGGTCAAGCTCTGGGACTACATCGTGATGGAACTCATTTCGACTATCTCAGCCCATTTGAGATCGAGATGCGGCGAAGAGTTTGGTGGGCCCTATGCGTGCTGGATGTGAGATCATCCGAGGATCAAGGGACCGATTACACAATCACAAAATCGAGCTTTGATACTAAGATACCTCTTAACCTCAATGAAACCGACCTCGACCCTGAATCAAAGGAAATTCCCCAAGCTCGCGATGCCCTGACTGATATGTCCGTTGCGCGCGTCACTTTTGGCATGTGTGAACTCACGCGGCAGATGATGGCTCATGGTTTCAAAGACGAAGCACCGAGCCTGGAAGAGCAAGGCCGCTTGTTGCAGCAGATATATAAAGGTCTCGAACAGGACTTTCTTCAATACTCAACCGACTCAGGGAACATTAGATACTGGGTGATAGTTACGGTCGCTCGGCTTCTTATGGCCAAGATGACCCTGCTTATCTACTTGCCTCTGTTGTTCTCCTCCCCGAATGAAGACTTCTCGGAAGAGCTGAGAACAAAATTACTGGTTTCTAGTATCGAGGTCGCCGAGTACAATCATGCTCTGAACAATGAGCACGCATGCAGACACTGGCGCTGGGTTTTCCAGACCTACACCCATTGGTACTCCATTGTATACATGATGCTAGAGATCTCTCGACGCCCGTGGTCGCCTCTTTCTGAACGGGCCTGGGTAGCCCTTCATAGTCCCTGGTTAATACCGAATCAATCACACATGGAAAGGAATCTACGCATCTGGATCCCACTCCGAAAGCTGATGGCCAAGGCTAGGAAGCATCGTGATTTGGAGTTTGAGCAGCTGAGAAACGACCCTCAAGCTGTCCAACGGCTGGAGCAGAACTATTGCATTGCCCCAATCCCGTCGAGCACGGGGCCGTTTCCACCTGGTTCAAATTCAGCAGATCTCTTTCTTGACCAATGGCGCCAGCTAGTGGCACACTCGGATAAACCCAAACATCACACACTCGCGCACGGGTTAGCCGCCAGCAATCTGTCGAATCCAACGATGGGCATTGCAAGCACAACCCAGTCAAATGTGCATCCTGATCCCAATCCATCTCAAACGTTCTACCCAGCTTTCACCGCTGAGCCACGGTATCTTGCCACAGAGGAACGACAGTTTGGTTACGAAGTGTCAAACATTGAATCTACCAGCTTCGATACAGTAATGGTGCCTAGTTCAGGAATCAGACTTGGAACCGAGAATCTTCCCGCTCCATCATACAGCCACTTCTCAATGGCGTCGGCAGCTCAATTTGACGGTCAACTTGCCACCCCGGCCGTTGTACCTTGGTTGTGGTCTGAGGAGGGCATATCGACCGATTTGACCAGTACCCCAGGAGACCAAGCCGATAGCAACATGGGCATGGATGAGGAGGTGAATTGGTACAATTGGGCCGCGTCTGCGAAAGATATAGAGTGCGATGGGGTTACATATAGCAGTCGACCTGCCACATAGGATATTAGAGACATTATCATCATTATAATTAAGATACCACTACGATGCCATTTTCAGATATCTTGAAATATGCCTTTCAAACAATCAGCAGTAAATCCGAGATCACGGTTGGGGTAGAGGTTGCGGCCTGTACGCAGAGAAGGGACCCGTATATATAACTGGCCCGTTACTTTCCAACTCTGGGGAAAATAGTTCAATCAGACTCCGAAAACCATAATGGAGGCTTCTGATATCCAAAATAGACTGGGTTGTACATCGATCCTGGGATTTTCCCATTATCGTGGATAATTCCTTTTTTGTTCTTTTGCTCAATACGTCTCAATATTTTATTTTGATGAATGTACTTTAATATTTTGGCCACAGCCTCATCACTGCAAAATTGGTCGAGGTAGACAGAACAGAATGAAACGGCAAGGAAAGTCCGAAAGGTATCAAAACATGGGAGAGAACAAAATCATTCCCCAACAATGTTGAAAAGACAATCACGCCACGACTTGAGCCGTCTGTAGTGGAGCATGCAACTCTATCCTGCTACCAATGGGCAAGTCTGACAAAACTGCGTAGGCACTATGGGTCTTGTCCACTGGTCCACCCAAAGCATGAAGTACCTGCTCTTTAGTGGCATCACCAAGCCCAGCAGACTTCAGGGTCCTTCCGTGCTCAAAGTAGTCAAAGCCACTAACAACAGCGGCCATCTCGATAAGTGCTCTGATAGTCGGCGAAGCCAAACCACACTTCAGACCGAGCTCATACCAAGGGACCAAGCCATAGAGAACATCCTCCAACAAATATCGATGATTCAGGGAGGACGGGGAGCTCTTGGTCTTGTTGTGAACCACGGAGCCGGAGGCAAAATCGTGGTAGTCGGAGTATTCCCGATCATTGTTATAATTTTGGTTCATGTACGCCGTGATGGGTGTGATCTCGAGGCCATAGGCGTGGGAAATTGCCAGGCGTTCCTTGTCCACCCTTTCAGTCACACGGGAGACAGAAGGCGACATTCCCTGGGCGTAGAAGTAGAAATCACCCTTGGTAGCCTCGATCCAGCCTGCATTCATGAGTGCTGCTGGGCAATGCACGACTGGGTTGACATTGTTTAACCCAACCTCGAGGAGATTCTGACACCACACTAGCTTCTGGGAAAATATCATCTCAACCTTGTGTCGAAGGCCAAGCTCGGCCTCGGGGTCAAGTTGTTCGACCTGTGCGGTGTTCGGTGGCTCGGCCCAGATTGATAGAGTCTTCTTGCAGCCTTTGATGAATACCGTGTCGCCTTGGATGCGAGTGGCGTAAGGGGATATATCGGTCTCGAGGATTGCATGGGCGTTGATCTTCGAGCGCGCAGAGAGGTAGAAGAAATTGCCCACGTTGATGATGAGGGTATGGTTTCGCAGATCGAATTGGCTCAGCAACGTCAAGATGGTATCCTGTCCATATGAGGGTACTGTGGTCACGATAAAAGGAGAGTGTCTAATGGCAAGATAGAGGTCGCTGGTGGTCTTGATTTGGAATTTTCCACTGATCTCTCCGGCTGCGTTCAACCAGCCATCGTTCTTTTCAATCATGTCCGTCCCGCCGCGATGATCGGGATGAGCGTATAGCATGACTGACTTTCCGCGGCTGGCCAAGTCAGCTGCAAAGGCGCAGCCACATGGTCCTGCGCCGATTATAGTGACTGTTAGAACGGAGTCGAAGTTTTCAGCAGCCATGATGTTGGTCTGAACTTTGTGTTGAGGATATTGTTGATCTCGCGCTTGGGGCAAAGAAAGGCTTTTGAGTATATCCGGTGATTTTTAGTGATTTTTAGTGATTTGATTGACGGATTGACTCGAGGGGACCTATCTATTTAAATATTGCTGTCTCAAGTGATAAATGGATCTGCACGATGTAAGTTGTACTGTACGCTCTAGCTCGCCTAAGAAGGCGGGATTGACCTGTACCAGATGTAATTGTTCTCGCGCCCTGGCTGTATGCCATGAAGTGATCATCAAAGGCAACTTCCTGAAATTGCGTCATGTTAATGCTCTGGTTCATTCTCTTAACGAGGACCATGATAGAAATGACGAGTGTGGATCTTCACGAGCATCTTGTCTAATTTGAGTTGACACAACTGTTCAACTAAGGAGGTCAATTGGCTAAAAAGATGAATTCATTACACAATCAAAATTGCAGATCACCATATAACTGAGGGTAGAAGTCTAAGTAAGCACATCACGATTGAAGATCAGACATGCGCGTTTTGGGTTTCATCGTCCGCAGCACCCCAAACATTCTAAGTTTGATACTGCATGTTTATGGTGCCCTTCACATTTGTCTATTGAGTTTAATGGCAGTGCATACCAGGGGAACTAATTAGATGGTCTTGTAATCTCTTTGCATGAAATTCATGGCCCAAATAACGCAAATCCACGATCTGATAATTATTCTAACAGGACAACAAGCATCCGAGGATGTGGGCCTTGATGGGATCAGCGTGGATCAATGGAGAAGCTACAACCAATCAGATGAACTTACTGGGGCCATGTGAGCTTGTCCCAAAGGTTCCATGACGACCCTGCAGATCTCCAGGTCCAGGGGTTCCCGAATATCAACCCACTACTTAGGCACCTAGGTAGCTCCGTTGATTCCCGACCCGAAAACAGCGCCTCAGTATTACCGAAGTTACGTGTCCCTGAAAATAACACTAAGTAATGATTGGCGCCTCGATGGATAATTTTTGAGCAGTCGATCACTGTGTTCGAGACTTTCAATCACATGATTCAAAGATTTCCAACTTTCACAGTGGAGCCCTTCTCCTAATTTGACGTCACTGTATGCTGTGGCCGTTTTGGTGTTGCCTCCTGGATCGACGATGAGTTATTCGTTGCGATCACACAGTGGAAAAGGGGACGAGGAGAACCTCTTGGTTGCCAAGTGGTCAAATGCTTTTAGTTTGTTTCGACCTCTTCTGCACATGTCCCACCAACCCGAACGACCATGAATTCCGAAACCACGCTTGCAGAGCCTGTGCCTCCACCGTACAGCTCCTTCAGCACCGCCAAAAAAAGATACATCGTTGCTACAGCTGCTGGAGCTGGTCTATTTTCCTCCTTGTCGGCTCAAATTTATTTCCCAGCTCTAAACACACTGGCCAGTGACCTCAATGTATCAGCATCTATGATCAACCTAACGGTGACGAGCTACATGGTAAGGATGCACCATTTGATGCAAATAACACAACGCATATGTTAACGGATGAGGATAACTATACTAGATCTTCCAAGGAATTGCACCCATGTTCATAGGTGACTTTGCGGACAGAACAGGCCGTCGACCAGCCTACATCATTTGCTTTATCATTTACATCGCGTCAAATATCGGACTAGCTTTGCAGGACAGCTATGCTGCTCTCATCGTATTGCGATGCCTGCAGAGTTCCGGGATCAGCAGTAGCGTGGCACTCTCTGCGGCTACTGTGGCTGATATCAGCACAAAACAGGAACGAGGGTCGATGATGGGCTTTGTAATGGCCGGGAATTTCATGGGTCCTGCCATTGGTCCGATTGTTGGAGGTCTTTTGGCCCAATATCTGGGTTGGCGATCGATCTTCTGGTTCCTAACCATCGCCTCCGGTGTATTTTTATTGCCTCTCCTCCTATTTCTTCCCGAAACAGCCCGAAACGTCGTTGGTGATGGCTCATCTCCTGCACAGCCGTGGAATCGGCCCTTGATTCACCTTTTCTCTCGCCATTATGGGGAAAGGCAAGGTCCTTCCGACAAGGATAGTCTTGATCAACCTGGTAGCAGCGACTCGCCAAAGAAAACTATTGAGCACAAACTCCAGTTCCCCAACCCTCTGAAGCCTTTGATACTTGTATTCCATCCAAACTCGATTATCATTCTCTTGGTAACGGGAATCATCATGGGTGGAAACATGACAGTTCTCTCATCTATCACGGAGATTTACACGGCGCAGTACGGCCTGGACGAGCTTGAGATTGGTCTGTGCTATATCTCGCTGGGAACTGGGTCCATCGTGGCCTCAGTTGTGACAGGCCGCCTGCTGGACTGGAACTACCGACGCATGGCTGCCAACAAAGCCGCCAATTCTACTACCTCTGAACAAGACACAACCGAGGATTCTATTCCTATCGAGAAGGCCCGAAGTATGATTACTATTCCCCTCGTTGTCCTCGGTAGCCTCACCGTGTTGGCGTTTGGCTGGGTTTTAAAGTACGGCGCGCCTCTCGCGGCCCCAGAGGTGCTTCTGTTCTTTGTTGGCGTAGGGCAGACTGGCGGCTTTATCTCCACTTCTACCCTGCTGGTCGATCTACACACCGCCAACCCGGCTGCTGCTACCGCGGCCAACAACTTGGTGCGGTCTTTCTTCTCAGCCGCGGCGTCGGCTGCCATCGACCCTATGTTGACAGCTATGGGTCGGGGATGGACATTCACGCTGGTGGCATTTATCTTGCTGGCGACGATTCCGTTCCTGTTGTTGCTCTGTGGGATGTGGCGTCAAAAGAAGGACTCACCGGAGAGATCCGAGGACTAAGAAACGTTCATCGGCTAGCGTGTTATCGATATAATTATACCCTGTAGATGATATGAGACGGAGTACTTGTCTAGATTGTACTCTGTAATCATCTATCAGAGTTCATCCATGGATACGAACAAATAAATTTCCTATCAGCGGCAATCAATATAAATACAATGGTTAGAAATGTGGCATCACTATGCTCACGACTTTTGTAACCACTGACCAAGGTGCCCAGGTGGTGATGTGACTAATAGAATGGATCAACTCATTCTATGCAACTGCCTAGCAGGGCTGAGGTAAGGCCCCGATTCCTCCGACTTCGAGGATATGATCTGCATCCGGCAGTTGTTTCACAGTGTTATGCGGAGATCGAAATCATCGACCAGTGCATTCATATGAGAATGACAGCGAATCCTTCCTGCGTTACATGCGCTACCCCAGCACCAGTGAAAACACCGGATTCCAGGACCTCTACCTGCATGGGCACACCGACTTTGACAGTCAGACGTTTCTCTTCTCGCAACCAATTGCGGAACTGCAGGTGAAGACGCCCGATGGGAACTGAAAATACGTCAAGTCACATCTTGGAAGCATTGTCATCAACACTGCCGATTGTTTACAATTTCGGACCAATGGATACTTGCAAAGCAGTGTCCACCGGGTTGTCTGCCGCCGGAGAACCACAGACATGTTGATAGATCCAAGTTATTGTATTTTACTCCGCCGACCGACAACATGGATCTGAAGATAACCGAGAGTCCACTTCTATGCATATTAGGGCTCAAAAGCGATGAGGATGAGAAAAGAGCGATGCGCCGCTCCACGTGGGTGAATGGATTGATCTCGGATCACGAAGAACTGGACCCGCTGACCGGAGAACAATGACCAGACTATCTCTGTAGGGGGTTACAAGGCGAAGATTCATTACCAGTGAAGTGTCAATTGCATTTCTCTTGGTTGTCGTAGTGGAACATCTACCGGGCCATGCTGGCCCGCCGAGAGGGGCACCAGTAATCCTGGTGACACTAGTAATATATTCGGTCTTTTACAGGTGAAAGGCATAATTCATTACACCAGTAGACAGTCGCATTATGATTTTTTATATTGAAAAGTTACGACTCAACATACTTCTTAGTTGAAACCCTTTGTTGCTTACTGAGTTGGTATCTAATTTCATACGGTTTACGGAGTAATTTTAGTAATTTTAGTATATACCAAAATAACTTGCTATAACAGCTCACTTACACTTTTAATACATATTATAATATGGTTAACGGGGTTAATTTCGTGCGAATTACCAACGATCTGGTAAGATCATTACATACATGCCCGTGTGGCTTGCATAAAGTGGCGTGTCTCGGGCTAAAATGGGGTAGCTTGTTGAATCTGAGCCTGCAAGAACTAGCCCTTTACAGGTCAGATATGACACAAATATGCATGCCGATGGGATACCCCATAGCCTTCAGCTCTCCACAACCCTTAATCCTCCACCAGCCTGCACGGGGATGTGAGGTGATTGACGTAGATACGCAGACAACGTGAGATATTTCTGACGAAAGGTATTAAGAGAATCTCGTCGATCAGTCAAAAGGTCAGAATGATCTATCCAAACCAGCACATCGCCCATTCACTGAGCTGCCATAAAGTGGAAAACAAGCCCTTGGAGGGGAAAGTCATCACCAGGGAACTATTCGACAATGCATCTTAACAAGTTCCAACCTACCGATGTTCGCTTTGTCTGCGGGCTGTCTGGATATTTCCACAAGGACCTGCAAGCAGTGAAGCAGAGTCCCAACTATGATCCTCTCGCCGACAATATCGCACCAGTGACACCAGGATTCAAGAAGGTTGTCCAGGCAGGAGAGGTGATCTCGATTCTGCTTCGCCTCCAAAACGGAGCTGTAGCCATTGGGGAGTGTGTCGATGTCATCTTCTCTGGGACTGCATCGCGTGACCCCTTATTCATCCCTAAAGAACATCTATCGTTGCTCAACAAAGTTGTGCGGCCGTGGCTTCTCGAATGTGATGTGACGACCTTCCGCTCCAATGCGGTCAAAATTGATCAACCGTGGCCCGAACTGGGAAACAAGAGACTCCACACCGCTGTTCGTTACGGACTAAGTCAAGCTCTCCTATCTGCGACAGCTCTCGCCAACAAGTGTACCATAACTGAAGTCGTTGCCCGCGAATGGAAGACAACGATCAGTCAGCGGCCAATAGGTATCCTCGCTTCCTGCCACCGGAATGACCAGCTTCAACTAGACAGGATGATCATGAAACAAGTGGCTCTTCTTCCACATGCCTCATTTGTTCACGTGAGCGACATCGGCCCTGGAGGCGAGACTATGCTTGACTATGTGCAGTCTGTCTCTCGACGTGTCCAAGAGCGGGGTGAGCCCGGATATCGACCAAGGCTTCATTTTGACGTTTATGGGACCATTGGTGATGCATTTACGGACGCGGAAATACCAGGATTCCTAGAGAAAGTCGAGCAGGCAGCCCGCCCATATGACGTGTTGATTGAATCCCCAATTGTGTCTTCCAGTAAAGAATCTCAAATTCGACGCCTGCACCAACTTAAAAAGATCCTTGCCTCTCGCAGAATCAATGTGGGAATCGTCGCAGATGAATGGTGCAACACGCTGGATGACATCCGGGACTTTGCCGACGCCGATGCTGTGGACTACGTGCAGGTGAAAACGCCTGATCTGGGAAGTATCCATAACTCCATTGATGCGGTCATGTACTGTGTCAAGGAAAACATCGGGTGTTGTCTTGGGGGATCTGCAAATGAAACCGACATTTCGGCGCGGATCACTGCACAGGTGGCTCTGGCAACACAACCGCAGTTCTTGTTATCCAAGCCTGGGATTGGGGCTGATGAGGGATTGATGATTTTGACGAATGAGATGATTAGAACTTTGGCCTTGGTAGACGATGATTAGTAGTATGTTTGGTATTGGTCTCAATTGAAGTTACATCTTTGACTGATATGAATGAGAACCATCAGACATCTCGAAAGAACTGAGTTCGGGTACAATGTGTCGAATGATAAAAATGATACTATGCAACATGTAACGGAATCATTACCGTGGAACTATAAGAATAGTACCAATGTAAAAATGTAATTCTAGAACAGTCTAACCTCTTTCTATATGGAATTGAAGCCATACTCATGTTTCTCTTCCACCCCTATAAATACAGAAATTCCTCACCGTAGGTTCGCATTTGTGATAGAAATCTTAAAAGATCTCAGAAAAAACCCATATTCTTTTATATTTTATTGACTGACAGCAGCCTGAGTTAAAATCTCATTGTGTGATACGGCAAGATGCAGTTTCTAACCAGAAACTGGTGATGAGGTTGTCGAACTGCATCAACGGCGCTAATCTCGATTCCGTAGGAGTTCAGGATTCTTGACATGCAGGAAGTATATGGCGTTGGCACAACGCCGGTTTAGGGTTAGCGTTCCCAATTCCATGTCAATTGTGAAGAATTAACTGGGGGTCTCAGCACAAAACCTTAACGGTAAAAACATCTCATCATTAGCACTAAGAAAATAAATGCTATCAAAGAGATGGAAGAGGCCGGTAAGTGCGCCGTTATCGCAGCTAACAATCATGTGTAGATCCTTTAGCAAGATCCTCAAACAAGAAGATTCTCAGATATTCTATCATCCAAACAATATCCCAGTCATAAAAATCGTCAATCCTGTCAATCCCAACCCTGCCCAGACCATTCAAACATCCAATTCCGCCTGATGCAATCTCACAGTCACCGGATCGGCCGGACAAGAAGTAAGCGAAACACCATAACGAATATCCCTCTCAGAGTGCACATCCTCGATTCTATCAAACCTCTGCAGTAATCTCACTAGAACATAACTAGCCCTCATTAAAGCAAACTGCTGGCCAATGCATGTTCTCGGCCCCCTATTGAACGGAATATACTCCCAGGTGACCCTCCGGCCGATCCACCGGTCCGGATTGAAGATTTCAGCATCCTCACCCCAGATATCCTTTCGGCGATGTAGGACGTACGTGCTGTACATGACCGTACGACCTTTGCGGATATAGATCGGGGAGGTACCGTCTTTCCCGCCACCACAAGGGAGCGTAGTATCCTTTGTTGCGCAACGGCGGTTGAAAGGTACGATTGGGTAGAGACGAAGGGTTTCTTTGAGAAAATGCTGGAGGTACTGACATGATTGCAAAGACGCAAAGTCCATGTTTTGTGGCTGATCGTAAGTACCGAATTGCTCGAGGATATCGCTTCGAACTCTTGCAAAGATGTGCTGGTGTCGTGCAAGAAGAAGGATTGCCCAGCTCAGTAGAGAAGCCGTTGTGTCACGGCCTGCTAGGAGGACGTTTAGAGATTCATCGCGCAGTATGACTGGGTCTTTTGTAGTACCAGTCAGAGCTTTCAGGAAGATATACCGCGATGGAACTTTTTCGATGTCTTGAGCTTCCTCTTCCTGCTGTTGCGCCTGTATCAGAGCAGAATGAACAAACTTGTCCACGAAGGCGTGCACAATGTTGATACACTTCTGAAACTCCCGATTGTAGATGACCCAGTAGAGCCGCTCGAACCGGAGTCGCTCCGCGAGATACCACATGCACTGGTCAAATCCATAGAGAAAGGTATCATTAGAGGCCTGTCCCGGTTCTTTTTGCGTAGCAGCAATCTGGCTATCAGAGCTTTCACCAAAGAGGAACTCTGTGGCCGAGTCAAGTGTAAGACGAAAGAAGATGGCTTGGATATCCACCGCGGAGGACCAGCCATCAGGTAGCATCGGAATGGCATGCAACGCATTGTGAACATGGCGTTCTTCCCTGTCAAGATTGCTCATTTGATCTCGCGTAAACTGGGGCCGTAGCAGTGATCGAGAATGCGACCAACTCTCGCCATCAGTAGTAAACTAGGTCCAGTCAGCCAATCTCCTCACTCTTTCAAAAGAAAATGGCTAATTCCAAGATGAGGAAAAGACTCACAATTCCATTACCAACAACGGGATGAGCTACGTTACGACGCACATCCCCCAGACCGAAATCCTTGAACTGAGTCGCCAGCATAGCCTGGATATTCTTGGGATCTGCCGTGAACAGGTTTTCCCGGCCAACCTGGTACATACGAAAGGTAGAAACGTATCTATCATGCTGACGGGATAGAAAGTTCACACGTCTCTCTGCTAGTTGTGGTAGCAACTTCTCTCTCGCTGCGTCAAGTATCTCGAGAAGGGTGGAGATACCGAACGGGTCTTTGCTAGGGTAGAGAGGGGGCTCTCTGCAACCTATCCTGCGAGCTCTCTGGGCATGGCGCCAGGTGAGAACAACAGAGAGGAGCAGACGCCCTGAAATGGCGAGTGCCACAAGGGCTGGGATGAACCAGCTTTGCATGAGGTTGTTAAGCGTTACAGTGCAAATAGAAGAAGCGTTGAGATACGCTTTTGGCCCGGACATGGTGTGAGAGATGAAGGAGAATAATTTGAAGGATAGTAATAACTTTATCTACTGACTCTCAGGCAGGTTAAGAACCAAATAAGGGTGGCAAAAGTACATAGAATCGCACCGAGTGAATTCACCAGCAGTATCGCAATATTGACATGACAGAGCAAATCCCTACTTGTTCAGAAATACGAACATGGTATGTTTCTACAGTGAATGAACCATATCTGACTCTTTATTTAGCGTAGAACCAACAGCGCTATGATCCTTGCGAGATACGATGTCGGAACGCCTAAATGCCTACCCAATAACCAGGTTTAAGTCCCCAACCTACACCTAAGCGCCGCATTTTTCCTAATCCGGTATTCTTTATCCATGTTGACTTCTGACTTAGCATAGCCAATATTCCTCTTGGCATGCCGATCATGATGATTTACTTGAGGCTGTGACCCTAGGGAGTACCTCTACGGTGCCACGTATCCCCTGTTAGGAAGATAAAAGAAACACTCGGTGTATACTTAGTCAAATACGGCTGACGTGATAATAATTATATTTCAATTTCGACTACTAGATTAGCTTGGATGTCTTAGGAGCGGTGAGTTGGTTCAGATCTAGAATACATACGGAGTACTGACCAGCACAACGGACGGGATACCTGCATTAGCGCTGCCACTATTAAGTTCCTTTTCGCCAGAGGATGGAGCACTTCGTTTCTATAATTTATGTTCCCCGTCTATTGTTGCCTATAAAGATCATACACATCTACAAGACCCGCCCTTCCCTTACACCCAATGCCCTTTTCTAGCGTGTATTGACCCCTTAATCATCAAAATCTCTCTTTTAGTATCAACCTCACTATGTCGTCTTCAGAGAAAGATGAGAGCTCATTATCACTGGAGACTCATCCTCGCAGCCACATCCCCAACTGGAAATGGAAGGGAACCCTTGCAGTCCTCATTCTGACAACCCTCATTAATGGTCAGTTAAGCTCATCTAACATAAGACCGGGCGCATCCCAAATCATCATTCTGACGAAGTCATTGTTTTAGGCTATGATGTGAGCAACGTGGCTAACATCCAGCCCGCCCTCTACAAGGCCTTCGGCAACATTACGCTTCTACCATGGATCAGTCTGTCCTTCAGCCTCGCGGTGTTTGCCGTCCTATCCTTCTCCCGGAAGATCTTGTATTGCTTCGACATGAAATGGATCTATATCGCAAGTGTTTTGATCTTTATGGCTGGTGCTGCTGTTGCTGGTGCAGCCCACAATCTCCCCACGGTCATTGTTGGGCGAATCATCATGGGTGTCGGTGGTGCTGTTGTTTACCAAAGGTGTGTTGCGATTTATCTCTAATGCTTTAATCTCATAGAGCTCACAATAACATAGCAACTTGACATTTGTCGCCGTCTTCGCCACGCCCGAGGAGACACCTCGTCTGTTCGGTCTTCTGAGCGCAACATGGGCCGTGGGTCTCGTCATCGGAGGTCCTATCGGATCCGCTCTCGCCTCAAACAGACACACCACCTGGCGGTGGGCTTTCTACATGAACCTACCCTGGGTAGGTCTCAGTCTTGCAGCCGCCATCATCTGCCTTCCTCGCAAATACCTAGGGCCAGACATTCCGTTAGTCTCCCGATTGATGGCAATTGACCCCATCGGGATTGCGTTCAATATGGCGGCCCCAGTACTATTTGCCCTCGCATTGGAGTTCTCCGGTCCGGTGTGGGACTGGGGCTCTGGTGCGTCTATCGCAACCTGGGTAGTTTTCGGAGTGGTTCTGGTTGGATGGATCGTCCAACAATGCTGGTGCATTGGCACGACTTCCGAGCAACGCGCCATCCCCCTCCACTTGCTTGGCCGGGTTGACCTGCTTCCGCTTTGGATCGCGTCTGGCTGTGCGGGCGCATCGTATGCTATCACACTCTACTACACGCCTCTCTTCTTCGCGTTCGCTCGCGGCCACAGCGCCATGGAGCAGACTGTCCGTCTTCTTCCTTTTATTTTGGTTTTCATCGCTGTGGTCATCCTCGTCGCCGGGTTGCTCCCGATCTTAGGCCGCTACAACCTAATCTACATCGTTGCGGGCATTGCAACTGTCGCGGGGGCCGGCGCTATGGCCGGCACACTCAGTCCTGGTGTCTCTGAATCTCAGGTGTTAGGCTTGGAAGCACTTATTGGTGTTGGTCTTGGCTGCTCGTTTCAGCACGGGGTTGGTGTCTCAAATGTGATAAATAAGAACCCACGCGACCGTGTGGACAGCGCGGTCATGTTCAATATGGCACAGATGGGCGGCATTGCAATTGCTCTAGCTATTGCAGGCTCGATTTTCCAAAATGTGGGGTACAACCTACTGACGGACGCCATTGGGGATAATGGGTACTCGGAAAAGGACCTGCGTGAAGCGCTCGCCGGGGTATCGTCAGCAGTGTGGCAGTCCGGCAATCCCAAGGTTCTTGCTCGTGGAATCGATGCCTTAGCTACTGTGATTGGGCGGGAGTTTTATTTGGTGGTGGCCGGTGGTGCTATCTGTCTCGTCTGCGGGTTGGTGATGAGATGGGAACGATTGGATTACGGGAGGCACAAGAGCAAGGATGTCGAAACCTGAACGCTTCCCAGGATAATTTATTTTTAGCGAACACTCGACTCCCGTTGGGGTGTGGAGCGAATATCTGATTCGCCTTACCCGAATTAGGTAGAGTGTTGCGCACAACTGCGCCAAGTCTGCCCAAGCGACAGATATACCCAGAAGGGCTCATAGTTTACTTTTGGGGGCCAAGGCTGAATGGCCCTATATTTTGGTTGGAACTGAGTGAACGGTTGGGGCCCTGGTCTGGCCACCTCCCGATGGCTGTATAGCCAATATTAGAATATGTAGCTTGCCTGGACGACGGGCCCTACTAATAATTCGTAGTTAATGACATTTAAGTCTGCCTGCCTTAACAGAAGAGAGGTCCTTTCCTGTTTAGAGTCGCATTCAACTAGACATATTTGAAAAAGAGCCAACTTCTGCTGTAATGTTCAGCCCGAGAAAATCTAGACTTATGAACCATCACAATCCTGAGCGTTTGGGGGCCGCAGTACCTGATACGTTGACTCGCTCCTTCTGCCTTGTGAGTGGCTCGAATCAATTTCAGGATCGACAGTACCACGCAAGTCCCCACCACAGCCCTGTGTCATAACTGCATGATAGTTGGCCCCCGGAAAAGTATCCTCAACGACAGGGACAGGCTCCATTGCGAGCGAGAGGGGAACATTTCGTTGTCATAAGCCAAACTTGCATAGGCGAAGTCTGGAATCCCCCCCCCTGCCCTCTGCATTAACCAAGGCCCAATTATCCATGTTACTATACACCGCTCTAGTATTCTGAAGGATGTGAGCCCCAAGCCTGGTAACGTCATCTTATTAATTTAAGTATCTGTGAGATCGTGGTATGGCTGTATAGAAGATATTTCTAAACCACTATAATTTATACAAGCTCAAGTTAATGTTACCGCAATCAGATCGCTAAGCAGAATGCGGCCCTGATTCATTGCGATTAAATCGCTCAACTGTACGAGTGATTCCAGCACCACTCCTTTCCTCACCTTATATTTCTCGTGTTCATACATATTGACTTACGTAGTCGTCCCAGCCTTCCAAGGACTGGGTGCCAAAGCAGTATCCACCAAAGACGCCGTAAAAGCTGACTAACACGAAATCTCCAGAGAGCGAAGCTAACCACATATGTAAGTAACGTAGGAGGCTATTGGGCTTTGCCAGCATCGAGTTTGCGATTTTGCAGTTCGAAAGCTTCGAGCATGGATCGAAGCGAGTCAACAGATACTGGTATGGATACGCGGCCTTGCAGCTGGTTCCATTTTGGAGCTCTTTTGATCGACAGAGATTCATGCGAGGAATGTTGGTCGGGCGTGTCAACCTCGCAGATCATCTTATATGCAGACTTGAAATGCATCTGTGCCTCGGGATACTTATGCTCCAAGCAGCAAATAGACGTGAAAAGAATGCTAAGGGTAAGAACCCGCCACCAGCCCTCGGGTGAGTACTACTTCAGCAGGTTCTGAACTGCTAGTTTATAGTGCTTAAGGGTATGCAAATTTTCAGGAGTTGTAGACGTGGCAACAGGTACAGTGGAAACAGAAGATTCGTGAGCCGACGCGAGGCTAATAATGGCATGCCAGATGGCATCGTCAAGGTGACAGGCTCTAGGGATTTCTGTCTTCCAAAATGTAGAATTAAAGGCAGCGCCTAGAGAAGGCGCTGTCACATCGACGAAGAAATGGAAGCTGCGCAGCTCTTTGGAATTCTTGTCAGGGAGAGACGGGATATGATTGGCCACAACCGGAAAGGCCCAAATCGCAGCGTTTTGTGGCTTGGGGGGCTCTAAAACCGGCGTGGTAGCATAGCTGTCACATTTGCGTCCAGTAGATACACACTGCTTGCATGCCGGCCTCACCTCATCGCAGCGTACTTTCCGGGTCCTATTGATGGTGGTTTGGTTAGAGTTGGTCACTCAGCCTTGTTTAAGGGGGCGTACCTGTAGGTATTGCACCCCATTTCTAGCTTTGTTGTGGCTGGCTCGTTTAGCCTTCGGGTTCGTGACTCGTGGCTGGCTGCCATCGGCCTTATAGGCTGTATGGGGCGCCACAATAATGGCCGGGCTCCCGGTATGATGCTCTTGCGGCTTCGAGGGGGTGAATTTCAGCTCTTGAAACTTGAAACGTCGGGCTCCATTGTTGATACATGGAATCTGTAGGCGAGTACACCGCGAACATTTGGGGTTTGATTCATCACACTTCTTTTTTTGTTGACGACACGCATCACAGGCTCGACTTGAAGGAACGCCGGGCATTGAAGAGTCAGCAGNTATTAGGAAGTTAATAAATCTTAATATTAGTATATAATAGTTATTAATTTACCCTTTTTAGCTCTTTATAATATATACCTTTACCTCCTTATTTTATAATACTAAATCCTAACTATATTAATTCCTTTACCTTATACTATAATATAATAAGTAAGGAATTTATTAAATAATAGCTTTAGATAGAATTTAGGAAGTCTAAGTATATAAATTAGGATATACGCTATTAAGTAGAATACTAGAATAATTTTAACTAAGTAGTNGCCTCATATGAGGTTCTGCTCAAATGGTCCTTCCGAGTAAGGCGAGATAATATGATGGAGACATCTGCGATATTGGCCTCCTCCGAGCATGACGGAGATAGGCGTGAGGACCGTGCGAAAGAACGGTGGGGAAATGACTCCACGGATTATAGTTCTCCCGGTACGACTCTCTTTCAAGGCTCCCTCTTTTGGAACATACATGAACGCACTATCGAACTAATGACAAATTAAAATCCTAAACATGTTTCAGACTAATACCAGAGGAAGGACTCTGAAGGTGGAAAAAAAGTCATGGCGAAAGGGGGACTGGGTTAACACAATACCCCCCTTTGTGAAACCATAATATACAATTGTAGTACTGAGTGGACAGGTTTTACCCCTGAAATAGTGGATACCTGTGGACACCAAAGTGCATATTCTGAGTTAGGCAGCATATCTGTGTAGATTCTTTGGTTAGTGAGAGAGTGAATACCACCGAGATTACCCATGAATTGTCGTACAGTAATTCCGATAAAATGAAATCCGTGGAATCCTCTAGGACTGAGAGTATCTAGCAATGGTGTGGTGTATAAGTGTACCAGAATATCTAGCTTCTGTACGGAATTAAGAGAGTATCTATGACTTGATTATTGAGATATATATATCTCTAGCTTAAAGCAACTAATTTTTAATGCCATGATAATGCAGTCTCTCAATTTCCATAAAATTAATATAAAGTATTCAATAGTCTTTATCAACAGCTATCGACCAACCATAAAATAAAATGAAAACATGTTTGTCGAGATATTGTGTTCTCGGAAATTGCATTTAGTAAATATGGTGTTTGGGGGTGTCCAGTTCGCATGTGAAATATGCTAGTTAGTGGCTTCAGCGATAAATCGTGGCACATCCCAAGATATTCACGAAATGTAGATCGTCTTGGAGCACCACGAACTAGAGAGACGACTAAAGTAAAACCACCTCTAATTCTAATTGAGAATGGCCCTATGGTCTGCGAGGACTATTACCTATAGATGAATTCTATTAAATAGGAGGGAGTCCAATGCTCATAGCAATCCAACCTTCTTTAGCTTCTCAAAACCGGACAAGTAGCTTATCATATATAAGTCTCAATTTACCAGTAACTGGACTTTTATTGCGCTAGAACTCATACTTCAGTTGAAAATAGACAGCTGCTATATACAACATTTAAATAATAAAAAAAGGAAATCAAGACCTCTGCCGCCAGAGCATCTTTATGGACCCAAGAGGCATGCTGCGAAATGAAAGCGTGGGCAATATCTATGATTCACAACCAGAAAATACCAACGAAGTCACAAAAGTTGAAGACATTTATTCCAAAGAACCATCTCCGACGCAACGCTTCAGAGGGTAGCTGTCTCCCAAGCAAGTTGTAACAACACCCTTGACCCAGTTCAAGGTGTTAGGTCCATAGGTGAAACTATCCGAGGTAAAGGAGTCCGCCTGGAAGTATTCGTAGTGTCCACTTCCGGGCTGTCCATTGAAGACGTATCCGCGTCTGCGGTAGGTCAAGGGGTTGCTAACAATCGCACCCCACTTGTTCTTCGGGATTGTCATGGTAACCGTGCCGGTGAGAGTAGCCGTTTGGGTGGTCTGGTAGTTGATGGTGGCTCCAACATTCAGGAACGATTCCACGGTGACTCCGTACGAGGCGCCAACCGAGATGCTGTTTGCGAGGGACTGGCCTGCGGCCATAGAAGCAGTGGCATCGGCTTGGTTGGCATGGACGATGGTAGACATAGGCACGTCCCAGCCGAGGAATTTCTCGTCGGGAAGAGTGATGATGAACTGGGCACCACCGCGCTTGCTCAGACGGCTCACGAAACTCGAATTAGATCCAGTCTCAATGAACTTTGGGAGGGAATCGGTGGGCGGAGACAGAGAGACTCCAGGTAGACTGGCAGCTAGATCTGCCTTGTTGATAGTCTGCGTAGTGCCATCCTCCAGAAGAACATAAGCCAGCTCGCTTGCCTCGGTCGGCAGAGCAGAGACGAATGCACTGTTGGCACAGAGAGAAGCAAGGAAGACAAGGTCGATCTTCATGATGTCCAACAAGAAGGAATTCGGTGCAAAAGTCTGTAGATATTGACCAAGGATAATTGTTGAGGAAAGTGATATCGCAAAATTGGCGACGGAAAGGAGACGCTATTTAGACTCGCTCAGGGAAGGCGTCAGCTTTTCCAACAGCCCCAGAAGCATGCTATACTTTGTCGAACTAGACGAATCCATCTTACGGAGCAATATTTCCGCAACGGATTTACCATAACCATAGAAGTTCATGATATTCATCTAAGAACCCACCTGGTTTCATCCTTATACTTCCGAAAAATAGCCGGAGATCTACCGATACTGATGATATTGAACCATGGTGGGCAGACATTGCAACAGGGTAATCAATTTAACTCCTTGCAGGAGTTTCGGAGGATCATGGAGGTAGATCATGCGGCGCCTACGGGTGGGACTATTGGTCAGATGCATTGTTCCTGCAGAAAAGCCACGGAGCTCGGGTTCGCAACAGGGCAAGTGAGACCTGGGGCGTGCAACGGTTGTGGGGCGCATTGTCGATCATGATAAGGAGTGTGGCTGTGAGATGCTTTGGGGGCCAAACCCAATTCATTCGAAGGATTCTATGGGGAATAGTAGAGATCCGGCTGAATCTGGTCATTTTTGAATGTTTTAATGAAGGACCATGAGGGTTCAAGTTCATCTTTCCAGTATATAGCCACTTGAAACAAACTTGAAACTGTCAATCGTGTTGATAAGCAGAACCCTGACAAGGTGCAGTTCACACGTGTTGATGGATTGGAATCTAAACGACTAGCTAAACTCTAATTTATTGCAAATCAACTCCCAGATAACTAGGCAGATATGGTTGTGAGACATATCTCACCTTAGGGGACCTTGAAGGATGACAGGAATGAGAATGAAACTCCCCATACGCAATTGGGATAATGAAGATCATCGTTCGGATGGAGATTGCTCGGAAATTTCGTCTTGGATGTCTCATTTCAACAAAGCGGATGTGTATGACCTGACATGCGGAGAGACAGCGAAACTCAATTTAGAACTAGGTATCGAGATTCTTTTTAACGTACCGCTCCTCTGGCTTTTTGAACATCATTTAAATTTACGTCTGCCACCCAATTCTCGAAAGCCAACTTAACAATTACCTCCGATACCATTATCACCAAGATGAAGTCCATTTCCATTGTTGTCGCAGCTCTTGCTGTTGGGTAAGATCTTCTCCCAATTGACATGATTGATACAGACACTAATTCTTTGCAGTGCTTTCGCAGACCTCCACACTCAAGGTGTTTGCATCGACAAACCTGCCAAGGGAGTTGTAAGTACAATTTGAGAACTTGTACCCTTAGGAAATGCAGTCCTAACCACATTATAGGAGGTTTACAATCAGGCGGCCACTGAGCAGGCATGCACTGCCTATAAGAACCGAAACACTGGTAACAAGCAGTGGGATAAATGCCCCGACTGTACGCTTAAGAACGAGCAGGACCTGCTATACTACTGCGAGTCCCAGGGTTGGCACATTGGAGGTGATGAGTTACACTATTACTGCACTCAACATGGTGCCTCGGACAGTATTGCTTGGTGAAGAGGCTGAGGAGAGCAGCCAGGATTGACAAAGATATCACTTGATGCACTTTGTACTTAACCAATGCTAGTTGAATTTGTGAAGCTGGCGCTGCGCTTTGGGCCCATGCTATATGTATGCACCGCCTAGTGTCCTATTGACACTGCTTCAATTGTTATATCTAGAGACTCGTAATGTAGCTTCCGTCAACATATCTTGAAGTCAGGTGTATAGGCGTCTCAGGATAGGAAGTTCTGGCGGTGTAATGAATATATCATCGATGCAGTCTGGGTAGCTAGAGAGCTTGGATTTTCCTCGCGAGTGGAGAAGGGGTCCGAATAACGGTCCGAGGGGGTCCTGCTGGGTAGTTTATAAATCGATCTATAAATTGTGATTTCGTCTAGTTTCGGGTGTTTAGGCTTATTGTTTCTTTTTTTACGTAAGTCCATTATCTTTTTTTCCTTCTTAAAGATTGACTAAATCAATTACGGCTAGACTTTATGTTATATTGATACAGTCGGATAAGACTTTCTGGTATGTAGCTCGATGGTACCTTGTGCCTTTGCTATTTACTTCCAGTGCCTGGATTTAGTGGATTTAACCCTAAATATATGTATTCCTTAGGTAACGGCGTTTCTGAGCTATTGTACGCGGATAGCAAATTTTTGAGCTATATAGACCCAGCGCCAAGATCCAGTGGATAGCTGTAGCCCTAGATATTACCATATTTGAACCATGATCTTTTACTAGATAAGGAGGAAATTAACAAACCTCTGGTCTTAAACAATCGAACACATTCCTTTCTTTCAAGTCCGAGCTGGAATTTTATCTGCGTCTCGAATTTGTTTACACCGGGAGGGCGACTCTCGTTGAAGCACTGGCGAATTGTTGCATGATGAGGTCGCCCGGCCATTGTTGTCTCAAATCCTCACGTATCTGGTGGACGGTAGGCACTTCATCTCCTAGTGGGTGAAGTAGTAGAGCAAGATAGAGGTTGGGCTGAGGCTGTACATTATACTGGGTTAGTGATTCGATTTGATATAGGTGGGACAATATGTGCAATGTAGTTATGGGAAAGTCTTTCTCAATATATATATCTTAGTTTTTAATTTTTTCAATTTTCCCGAAACTCCCAGAAGTTGCAAGATATTATAAAATGGCATTATGCTATATGGAAAAATTCATATAGACAAGTACTGTTAAGATATCTGGTTGTAATTTGCGAATTTACTATGCATATCGGACTGCGTAGCTCGCCAGCTCAGACCGCAACCCTGAAAAGGCAGGCATCAGGCCTTTGGCCCCACTATGTATTCCATCATGGTATTCAGCAGCTTCTTTAATTTTTTGGCCTGTAAGTTTCGGTTTAATAAAGTGATATTGCTTCACGAAGCATCGTTGGACTGTTTCATGTAGCATAATAAGTTCGGATCTGGAAATAAGCATCTATTCAAAAATTAGTTCAGTGAAAATTAGTTTGTATTGGACCGCAATACAAAAGGTATGTATTTACACTTAAAATTTCGTACAACTCATATTTCGTGAGTATGAGATTGAAGATCTGGAAAATAAGCTAATCTTTAGAGTTAAATCAGCTTTGTGGTTTGCAAAAAAAGTAAGCAATCTTCTTTCATACCGGGGTTGAGCAATATGATCTTGAAGAAATTAGTATCTTTTGTATAGGAGTCCTATACGAAAGGTACTTACACCAAGAGATTTTTACTGGTCTGTTTTTTTGTATTGAAATTGAATGAAGAGAATACGTAGTTATACGCCAGCAAGGCGTTATTTTCTCACCTCGCATCCCAACTCAGAAAATAAAATGGATCGGATCTATGCGGGATTCGATCTGGAGTGACCCCAATTCCCTGAAATGGGACTAGAACCCAACCCGCCAAGACCCGGGGTTTTGGGCGACACCCATGTCATGGCTAAGTCTCCCGAGATCGGGCGCTGAGGTCTGATAGGTGAGATACTCGCTTCCAGAAAATTCTAGTGCCGGTCTCGTACCAAAGTTAAAAGCGCCACAGTCGGATTTAGTTTGATGTATAATTACTTTAAAATTTCGAACATTTTCGAACATCCTGTGAGAACTGGTCCTTTTAGAGTGAAATTGAAAGATCTGGGGTTGAAATTTGGGGTAAACCCAATCTATGGAGAGTACATAAAACCTTGACTAAAATTTATTGAACGGGTTATCGCTGAGCAGACATGTTGGGGGCTTACATGCGCCTTCGGGGGGCTGTTCAGCGCCGGGCCGGGTACGCCGGGCCGGTAAAATCTGTCGCCGGGGTACATACCGCGCACGGGGTTGGTTCACCAGACGCCGCATACCCCACAAATATGGACGGGCGTGCCGGTGAATATACGCTTATGTAATCCCACGGTGTCGCGAACCAAACCCATCAACGCATTTTTCAACGCCAATTTTGAAGTTGCAACCTCATTGGCATTTTACCCCGGAGGACACCCCAGAGTGTGTTTGAGCAAGTTCTTCATTAGGCAACGATTGGACTCCCCACACTCACCAGCATTACAACCAGTCCTACATATCTGGTTATAGGATATTCTATTAACCTTTATTCTCGCACGCCAAGCAAAAGCTCTTGGCCAACCCTTCGTTTTTGGGCCTCCACAAGGATTTTCAGTGCCTTTTTTTCTCTCGCCCTGGACGTTTTCTTCTCTTCAATTTTCCATATCATATACTATTCAACATTATGAGTGCCCCCGAAGCTCCTCATCCTATTCAGGACTACGAAGTATACAATGAGTCAACCGACATGGAGAAGAAGGCCTATCCGGTAGAGCCAACCGATGATCCCTTTGGAAACGAAGAATCTGGGGAAGTGAAGTATCGTATCATGCCATGGTGGTCAGTATCTCACTCTGTTTACTGTTTTTATTGCATCAAAGATCAAATCTCTGACTTTTATATAGGCAAGCTGGAACGCGTGAGAGCCAATCATTAACCCCAGTCGACAGAGACCTGTTTCTAACATTGTTCACCTAGTGATGGTCGCTGAAAATATCTCGCTTGGTATTCTATCTCTTCCGTCCGCAGTAGCAACCCTCGGGATTGTCCCGTAAGAAGATTTCTGCCTCCACAATGCAGGAAGAAGGCTGACCATCTCCCAGGGCATTCATCATTATCATGTTTCTGTCCGGCATCTCGTGGTACACTGGATACACCATGGGCCAGTTCAAGCAGCGTTATCCCCAGGTCCACAGCATGGGTGATGCTGGCGAGCTTCTTCTAGGCCCCATCGGACGCGAGATTTTCTTCGTTGGCCAGCTTCTGTTCATCATCTTCTTGATGGCCAGCCACATTCTCACGTTCTCGGTCCTGTTCAACACCATCACGAACCACGGTACCTGCACCATTGTCTTCGGAGTTGTCGGCTTGATCGTCAGCTGTCTTGCGGCCCTCCCACGCACAGCAGAAAAGGTCTTTTGGATGTCGATCATCTCCGCCATTAGTATCCTGGTAGCCACCATCGTCACCATGGTTTCCATCGGTGTCCAGGCGCCCGCTGATGTCCAGAACGATATTGTTGCGACCCCCACATTCCAGGAAGGTTTCTTGGCCGTCACCAACATCGTCTTTGCCTTCATTGCCCACGTCTCTTTCTTTGGCATCATGTCGGAGATGCAGGATCCCCGCGAATTCCCCAAGGCCCTCGCTATGCTCCAGGTCGTTGATACTACGATGTACGTTGTGACCGCTATGGTCATCTACTGCTATGCGGGCCCGGATGTCGCATCTCCGGCTCTATCCTCGGCTGGACCTCTGATGAAGAAGGTTGCCTACGGCCTCGCCATCCCAACGGTATGTTCTTTGTCTCTTTTCATTCTGATTGGGAGTCTGTTCTAATTTATGATAGGTCATTGTTGCCGGTGTTGTTTTTGGCCACGTTGCTTGCAAGTATATCTATGTTCGAATCTTCCGCGGCGAGCGCTCGCACCACATGCACCAGAAGACTTTCTTGGCTACTGGTACATGGGTTGCGATTGGCTTGACTACCTGGACTGTTGCATGGATCATCGCAGAGTCCATTCCCGTGTTCAACGAGTTGCTGAGTTTGATCGTATGTTTCCTAAGCATTCATTGCCGTGCGTTTACTAATTCGTTCTGCAGAGTGCCCTCTTTGGAAGCTGGTTTAGCTGTAAGTCGACTCCTCAGGTTAAGATCTTGATGCAAAATGGAATACTGACAGAAAACAGACGGCCTCCCTGCCATTTTCTGGCTCATGATGAACAAGGGGAACTTGTTTTCCTCAACTAAAAAGACCGCCCTGACTATTATCAACGTGGTCATTCTTGGGATTGCCTGCGCTATTGTATGTTTTATCTATCTGCGTGATTCTGAATTGCTCGCTAACAAGACTAGTGTGGATTGGGACTCTATGTCTCGGGCGTGGCTATCAACGAGAGCTCGTCCAAGGCCAGCTGGACCTGTGCCAACAATGCCACCTAAAATCGGTTATTATGTCTTCAGTGTCGGAAACCGTTGCTTTATAGATTTGCTTTGGTAAGTATTAACTGATACATGGCATCAATTGGCTGGGCCATTGTAAATAGACTGGTGTTCAATTGTACACGTATAGCTTGCATGCTGCAGGTGTCGCTCGATATTTAAAAGGATGTCTGTTACTAGAAATTTCCAATCTAAGTTCTCAACATAACTTCATATTCTTCTCTTGTACAAATGGAGCTGTAAAATGTGACCTCTAATTATTTGGCTCAAAACATCCATGAGACAGAGATGCCATCACCATAATGGTACCCAATTACTAATTATGCTTTCCACCATGAGGAGGCTTGCCATTTCGCTTCGTCTCCGACAAGCCCAGGCATTCTGCCATGTTGAAGAAGATGTCAATCGAACTATACACACCTCCAAACAACTCCTGACACGGGCCGCGCGCAAAGACCGGCACATCCGTCAACGAGTGGACACCCTGTGCCGCATCAACAGGGATGGTTCCGTTGACCATGAAACCACTAACCGCATCCTTGTAGTTAGCAACGTATCCCTTCTTCCCATCCTTCACAGCGGGTGTGCGGGGACCCTCGCTGTGAACACGATAATCCTCGCGGTGGTCAGGGAAGGCACCAACACCGGCGTGCAAGGTGTATCTCGGGTCCCATTGGGCAGGGAAGTGAACGCCCTCAGAATACCGCAAGGCGTTGGATCCAGCAACGGTGTATTGCGACAAGCCAGAGTTTTCATAATATCCGACCGCATTCCGCTTGCTGCGGTCATCTTCCTGCGCCGCCATGTACTCCGTATCGACCGAGCCGGTCACGTCGAAGCCGTGGCCGTGATCGGCAGTGACAACGATGAGGGTGTCTTCAAGCTGGCCCAGCTTCTCGAGCTTTTCAATGGTTGCACGCACGGTATCGTCGAGCTCGAGAAGCTCGCCCAGGGACCGGTCGTAATCCAGAGTGTGCATCTGCTTGTCGATACTGGCGGCCTCGGACATCAGGAACCAGCCGTCCTTGCGGTGGCGCTTATCGAGCACGTCAATCGCCTTGAGGGTCATGTCCTTGAGTCCGGGCAAATCATCTGCGTCGCGACCTGAACCATCAGGGTAGTTGCTCTGGTTGTAAAGGTTGGACTGGTAGACGTTGCGATCAAGCCAAGTAGCGAGGTTGGATTTTTGGAAAACGCCGAGCAGCTTCTCGTTGCTTGGGGCGCTGTGCAGGGCGGTGTTGTTCCAGGCCACGTTGTAACCCTTCTCGGCGAAGAGCTTGTAGTAATCGCGCTTTTCTTCGCTCGCGAGGAAGTCCTCTGCACCAGCGCCAAGGAGCACATCGGGGCCATCCCAGTTGGTCCACTCGTAGTCGGTCAAGCCTTCGTAGTATGAGCCAATAACATGGTCGTACTCACCACGGTCGCTAGTGTGAGCTGCCAATCCGGCAGGGGTGGCATCTGCCAAAAATGCAGTTGAGACAATGCCGACACCAGCCTTAGGGTGTTGACGGCGGAAGATCTCTGCGATTGTCTCGAATTTTGGGTCATCAAAAGCGTCGCTGGAGGAGTCCACATAGACACCCAAAGCATTGACGGTAGTCTTGTGACCGGTGTAAAGGGCCGTGGCGGAGTTGGCCGAATCGGTAATGAACGAGTCCATGGAGTGTGTCATTTGGTGACCCAGGACGGGGAACTTGTCCAATGCCATCTTTGTCATATATTTGCCGTTGATGCTGCGGTGGGCAATGAGACGTGCTGCAGTGATCATGTTGGTTGTCATGCCATCTCCAATGAACATGACGACGTTCTTCGCGCGTCGCTTGGTAGGGAGATCACGAACAAGCCAGTTGGCAACTGTCTTCTCTCCACCGTAGTAGGTCAGAGTAGCCTCGTATTCACCTGGCTCATAAAGGGCGATTCTCCTATAGATCTTCGAGGTCACATTGACAAGGGAAGGTTTATCGGCGTCCTCGGCGAAGCGATCTGTTTATATTAGCTCATGTGTTCCCAAAGAGGTGAATGATAGGAACATTACCTTCAAACCATGTGAAGTCCCACTTCTCTAGCTTAGGTTCCTCAATCTTGAAGTATTCCGTTGCAGTGACAGGATCACTGTCCTTACCCTTACCCTTGCCCTTCTTGGCGATGGTGAAGGTAAAGTTTTCATCTGGCTCTCCAACACGAGCTTCAGAACCATTGACGGGGGAGTGTACTTCGAGGCGGATATCGAAGTACTGACCCGCTAGGAAGTCGACCCTGCAAATAATTATTAGAAGCTATAAATCACGCGCAATTGAAATATCACATACTGATCAGGCGGAAAGATACATCCCAAGTCAGGACAACCACCCAGGCGCTGGAAGGTCTGGGCCGCCGTGAACGCAACAAAACATGCGAGCGCGGAGATTGCAGAGGCGCGCATCTTGATAAGCCGATTGTGATGAAACCGAGCTAGATTTGGAGAGAAAGCATCTCCGTTAAGTACAACGAGCTTCGGAGCTACTTGCAAGCGAACCTCCTGCCAAGAGCCGCCTGCCAAGACAATGTATAGTGGTGTAGAGACACAAATCTCCGGAATATTTTAGTCCCTTGATAGACTGTTATTGCTACATAGTACATGTTCTGTATGGGGAACGAATAAGAAGTAAGCAAGATTTACACGTGCGTAATCCTGGAGTTTACCTGGGAAGCTTGAACCTCCTTGCCAAGTCGAGGGAACGGAATGCCAAGCCTGTCTAGCCAACCCCAGTCATCCGCCAAGCTAAGATAGCTTGGCGGAACATCGCACGTGGGATAGATGAGAGATGGGGTGGAATCACGTTCGTTCTACCAGAGGCTGCTTAGTTACACACGTGAATGCTTTCCCATAGTTGCCTATCATGTTACGAAGAAACGTAGAGGTATAACAGGGCGCTAGCAAGTTCTATACCTCTCCGGCGGTATCCCGATGTCGAGAAACGGTAGCTGTAAGCGTTCGGTTGAAATGTCCAATATGAGACAGAAAGAAAAGAGAAGTAGAAAATAACAACAACATATGATGTTGTACAGTGCGTCTATAAATCGCCAAATCACCGGGACTATCGTATCATTGGTCCTGCTAGTTCCAATGTTTCTCTTATCGGATTTGGACCATCCATTTCAGGGAGAGGTTTAGAACACTGTTCTAGCTTAGTCTTAAAAGTGCATTCTGGGATACCAGCTAGATCATATTCTCCTTCTCTGACGGCTGTAAAGCCATCCGAGCGCCAAGCCAACCAGGACACCACATATTCAAGCACATGGCCCTATTCCTGCAATAGCACGTGTTGATAACCCCGACCATTCCACTATAGTGTCCTAAGGTTCTAATTTCCTTGTATGTGTAGTTGTAGACATAGGCGTAGACATCACGAAAGTGCTAGCCGAGCTGAGCCGAGGTCGGTTGATTTCCAACAACAAACTTAGCTTTCACTTTGTAGAGCCATTCGTGGCATTTTTATAGGTGAAGGAAATTGATATTGGAGTGATCCCTTGGGAGCTGTGTTATGTCAAGCAAAGTCTGGCACACTGGTGCCCGTACTCCGTGGCCTGTGCGGGGTAGAAATGTCATGTTAGAGTGGAACCAATCTCCCATGAATTTGAAGTCGTATCCATAAACATAACAACATGTAGCTTGCTATTTTCTCGGCGCTTATAAGGTGAGCGGATAAAATCCACCTGTTTGGACAGGTAATCCCCCGTGAATAGTAGGGTAATAGTGCTAACCCTGGTGGTAGACAGTATGTAGTGTTGATGGGACCTAGATTAGCCTAACCCTAGCCTGAGGACTCGGCCATCCAGGGATCATTCAGGCATATATTTGGAGGTGGGAATATTCTCGTTAGTGGGGCAGGTGCTTTTGTTATGGTGGTTATGGTATGATAAGAAGATCGGAGAAGCAGAGGGGATATTGAGGAAAACAAGTTTGAAGGACTGATCCTGACCACCAGTTTTGACTATCTTAACTTCTGTACTTCGCTCCATATAATTTATTAGCCTGCTAATTTGGTTGATAGTTGTTTGCGAGCGGCAAAAATGGCCCCAAGACGTGATTACAGGCATAGGCAGGGGAGGCTGAAAATGGCGCTCAGCCCCACAATATCTGTGCAGCAAAAGTATATCTTTTCCCCCTGTGATATTAGCCACAGTGCTCTGAGATAAATGTAAAAGTGTAGTGTAGTAGTCGAAAGCAATGATAAAATGGACAAAGAATCGATTGCTAGTCACGAATCCTCAAGATGACTACCAGTGTTGGACAAAGAACCACTTATTCAAGGCTTATCATGGTAAGCATGAATTCCCCAGCTGCAAGCTATGCTATTAACTATCATTTTATGTAAGGATGGTAATATATCGCAATTGTGTGTTAATTGAAAATGTATTCTTTTTACAGCAGCTAACTATGTGGCCTTGACCGGTCATCATCCTTGGCCTTCATTGCGCTCGTCTTTCATCTTGAGAACCTGAGATTGCTTACCATTTTGACTCTTTATTGTCGAGGATGGAAACCATAGATTCCTATCCACGTGGCTCACGAAATGTCAAAGACAATGGAGTGGCCATTATCTCTGTCTTTGAACGCCTATGTTACTATTTATGGTTGAAAGTCTACAGTCGAGTCCAATCAAAGATATAGTATATCTCAAAAAATGCATGTTTTAAATTTAGCCCTTTGATTCTGACGATTCTTTCGAGTCCATCTCATTGTCCATTGTCTATTAATGGGATAGGGCGTTCAGTGGAAATGCCAAAGACTAGTTCGAAGCATAGACTATATATGTTCATAACGTTCCCTAAGTTTGCATAAATCAACAAATTTTGACACTGAGGAAGCACTAATGTCCGTTCAAGGCCTTGGATTGATATCCCCTTTTTTACAGCAATCTTCATACCAATCCAGATTTGAAACTTTCAGCTCCTCTTCAATGCTTCCTCCCACTCTCAAATATGGCAGGCGACAAGCCGTTGGCCGATTACTACAGCAATGGATTGAAAACCCGGAATCAGACCCGTCTATGAACATATGTCCAATTATTCCCTCTACCCTGAAATTCAAAGACCTCAAGAAGTTCAAGCACCTGGAAATAGAGACAGATATGAGTCCTTATCTTCCTCTTCAGATTGAGCACGAATTTGGAGGTCTCGAAATAATGGGCCCAACCGGTGGGGCGTGGGAAAAGATCGCCATAGTTGAGTCTGACGCCCCATTAGACCCTAAACACCAGGATATTAGTACCTGGGAAGGGCAGATTGCACCTGGGCTGTTAATTGTTGAAGAAATAAAGCGAACAACCGGTGTCTTCATGTCAGAAGTCTGCCAGGCCATTTACCAAAACCACTTCCCGATTGATACTTTGAATTATGTCTATATGCTCGATGTTTGCAATACGGATACTCGTTCCTTTGTCAGGGACGAACTTTATACGAGATCTAATGGCCTCACTTGGCCAGATGACCAGATACGTGATTGGGTATCTGGAACCCCGGAATTCGAGGCGCTGCTAGGGACAAAACTTGGCCAGACTGTGGCATATTTGGTTTTGGGGGCCTTCAGACGTGGAACTCGCCGAATCTCACGAATCAGGATTTATCATTCGTTTGAGGCATTGCAGTTGCAATTTGCCATTGAGGAGATTGAGCAGGTTGTTCCGACTTGCAACCCGACTCAAAGCTCTTCTGCTCGTAGTACACGGTCGACATCGCGCCGCCAGCGAAAAATCGAATGGAGGAAAGCTCAGAGACAATGGCCCCAATGAGTTTTAAAAATCTGATATTGGGCCAAACTATGTATATCGCTGTTCTTATCGCTTGCATTTTACTCTTGTCTGTCATTGTTCACCATGTCATATTAGGTATCTAGAGCTTTTCTGGTTCTCTAACTCTATGTAGCTCTTGTATATTTCCCTTCATATTGTTGTGCGACCATTAGTTAACTTACATGCTACATGTAGCTGCTCTCTTCAAGTTCAATACCCCCGTAGATCTCATTAACATGACTGCAGTATCTTTACATTATGGACTTCTTCTATATGTCTGTGAACATAATATCTACTACTCCGACTCGCGTTGGCTTTCCCCATATATCTATGTTCTTATCGTTCTAGTTGAGATGCTTCTTAAAACTTAACAAAACGCATGTTAATATTCAAAATGACCAAACCAATAAAAGGTCAGTAGATGAGTTATCTCAAATTTATATCACATCTGGGCAAGAAGATTTAGCTGGTCTCGGGGCCCATGTGGTTACGCAGTCTTGGAGCTTGGACAGCCCCTTCTACTTTTAGATCTCAGCTTTCCCACTTTGAATTAACTCTACATCGAATTATACCAAGACCACGATAACTCTACCTCTTTCATTCACCTTCTGATTCCCCTTTTTCTTGCACATCCTCGGTCTTGGAGAACAAAAAGTGGCCGATTGGTCCAAGGTTGAGCCTTTGTTCCGCCGCCTCGGCGGATCTGTCACACTATACTCAGAGTTCCCTGCACTGAGACCCAACAGAACCGAACGTCTTTTTCTGAAAGTGTGAGCTCTTAGGTCCCGATTTTTCTCTGTGTCCGACATTTTCCGATCGGGTTTGAAACTATCCACGCATTATCGCGCCTCATGGCTTCCTTAGCGTTGGGTCTGGGGATCGTAGTGGCCAAGTCCCGTGAGTAGCCAATGAGAGATCGCTAAATTTGACAAATACATCGTCTGATGCATCTTGCATTTAGTTGTCATTGCAATATGGACTGCCATCATTGCTCCATTCCGCGGTCAAAAGGGGGGCGCCACAGCTTACAAGCATATTGCACTGTCTTTTACACGCGCTCTCTTCCGAAATGCATCCATGGAGCAGATTCAGTGAGTGAAGATATGAATGAATATTCAGCAAAAATTCTCAAATATATCCAAACCACATGGTCTATCAAAGAAATCATTCTATTAACACTTCGCAGACTTGCTCTTACCCCCGCTTTGGCTCTGAAAAGTTATGAAGCCCACATGAAACAGCAAAAAGCCTCTCCCAACATACTCGTGCTTCCCGAAGATACAACTGCATTCTGGCTTGGTAACCCTGCTGCTGAAAGGTTGATCATCTACTTTCCCGGTGGCGGCTATTCCCTCCCCGCGCTACCAAACCACTTCAGTCATGTCGAAGCTCTCTTCACGGACATAAAACAACATGGGAATAGTATTGGTGTGCTATTTCTTGCCTATGAACTTACCCCCAAAGCCCGATGGCCTCGTCAGTTGCAACAGGCCGTTATAGTTCTGCGGTACGCCATCGAGACACTAGGAAAACGTCCGTCAGACATTATTCTTCAAGGTGACTCGGCAGGTGCTCATCTTGCACTTGCACTACTATCACATCTCGCTCACCCGCATCCTCAAAAGATCGTGCCAAGATTTTCGGTTGATGAACCCCTCAGAGGAGCGATGTTGTTGTCCCCTTGGGTTGACTTCAGAACCGATCACGCGAGCTCCAGGGAAAACGCGGATAGAGACGTTATTACGGCCCAGACTTTGAATAGCTGGGCACGGATATTTCTGGGTCAGACCGTGGAAGATGGGTACACCTGCCCCACCAAAGCCCCAGCGGGTTGGTGGAGAGACCTTCCGGTTTCAAGAATCTTTGTTGGCGCGGGAGGAGACGAAGTCCTGTTGGATCCGATTAAGCAGACGGCCGAGAAGATGAAGGTGAGGCGATTCCCACACGCCTCGTGTCTTTCAAGGTTATCTAACAATTTATGATTAATCATTCCCAGGCTGAACTCCCCGACGTGAGCATTAGTATTGTTGCCCGATAATTCCACGTTGAGCCAATCACGGACTTTTCTTTGAAGATACGCCCTGGATTGCAGTTCAAGGCGATGACATCGTGGTTGAATCAGACCTTGTTCGAGGTGAGATGCTAAAAGGAATCAAGATGGAGACAGTAAGATGCATTGCGATTATTATTCCATCTCACAATTGTGGGCGAGTGGGCGGTCAGACGGCGCCAACTCGATCAGGCTTGGGGGGCTTTGTTCGATATGTCGCCACCTGGGCATCCGGTTTCCCTGACCTTTGACTACACAACTCATGTGAGATAACTTCAGTTTCGAATTCTTTACCATCCTTATCACTCGTGTTTTATGTGAATAGTAAGACATTTCCCCATCGGAGATGCAATCGACCCAAGATCCACAAGGGCGGGTCGGGGATCAACCTCGGAAGAAGATCCGAAAGGGGACCCGCAGTTGCTGGCAATGTACAAGAGCCCCTTGGTATAAGTGACTGAAATTAATCCCTAACGGCATTTCTACACACATAGGCAAACATCGCAAAGTCCGCTGCAATTTTGCGTCTGATAGCGACCAAAGCTGCAGAGAATGTCTCGCCCGGGGACTTCCATGTCGAAGCCAAGAATTCCCGGAGCCTGAGAATTCCCGCGAGTCGGACCGCACATATCTGAACGAGCGGATGGCTCGGGTGGAGTCTCTGTTGGAAAAGCTTTTGATACGAGTCGAGGGTGGTAGCAGTCAGCAGCACGACTCGAAATCACTCATAGACTCGGTGGAAACCAGTCCCGAAGGGAGTCCCCCGATTGTGACAACAGCGACCGTGACACCAGCTCCGGACAATGCTCCAGTTTTGTCTCTTTTTGACAACGATGCGGTTCGTGTGGTAACTCGCATTGGTGTCTATAATTACTGCTAGCCTGTGCTTACTAGTCAATAGCTAGGTTTCCAACGATCAGACACCGCTGCATCCGATTTCACACCTTATGGAACGATCAACCGGGATTGGGGGAGATTGCGCCGCGATCTGATAGCCTTGATACCCTCACAAAAGACATTGAAGATCATATCTGAGGCTAGCAGTAGCTGGTGGCTTATGCGCATGCAGTTATTCAATGACGACGATAAATCATTGCTGTCGTCCTCGGAGGGAGAACTTCGAAGCAGCCATCCGTCTATGGTAGGTAAGGCTATCCTGTGGATTGCACTGTGTCTCCAACAACTCCCCTCGGAGTTTGATTTGGCCTCTCTCGATCTCCCCTGTCTACCATGGGTCCTAGTTGAAGAATGCATCGCCCGTGTTTCTACACTCGTCTGCTCTGATGACTCTATTGTCAGTTGTATCGACGGGCTCGAGTGCTTGGTTCTGCAAGGGATGATATTTAGTAATGACGGGAAGTTACGAAGTGCATGGCTTTCTTATCGTCGGGCTGCAGACATCGCTCAGATAATCGGGTTTCACCGTGCTGAACCAGCTCCCAATGAAAGCGCCGAGTATCAACATCGGGCTACATTCATCTGGAGACACATTCTCATGGTTGACAGGCATTTTTCATTGATCCTTGGTGTGCACGGAGCTATATCAAACACGGCAATAGATCTATACCAATCGAACCCAAGTGACTCTCAAGATTTGCCCGTCCACAATGAATCCGTCCTAAACCCGCTTGCTCGGATAGCCGGATCAATCATTGAGCGCAATCAGATCTTCACAGAAGTCACTCCGGCCATGCTGCAGATGACACAGGGCATTGATACGGCACTTCAAGCTTTCGAGCCACCTCCTCTGGCATCACCCGATAATGTCCCACCAGGCAAGTGTACCGAGCGGTCCGTGTGTTTCCTAAGCCTTCACTATCGGTTATGGTACTACCAGCTCATGACATGGTTACACCTGCCTCTTCTACTAGCATCAGGTACTGACAACTTCTATAATTACAACCGGCAAACGTGTCTCCACGCATGCCGCAGCATTATCGCTTGCTATGTCAATATCCGACGCACCACTGAAAACGGGTTTGACTCGAGGATTCTTGATTTCCAAGCCTTCACAACAGCAATGACAATCATTGTCAGTTCACTTGGACCATTTGGCCCACTGGACTTGACCAAAGAAGATTACCTGGCTATCGACCTGGTTGTGGCTGTTCTAGAGCAACTATCGAAGAGCGTCCCTCCAGACAAGATCTCAACTCGCGCGCTGCACGTTTTGAAGCTTATCAGGGCGATAGGAATGGGAACTGAGCCCCCACCACTTGACGAGTCAGAAGGACACCAATACGAGAATGGAAGGCCGAGTCGAATCAAGCTTGATATACCCTATTTCGGCACGATATACCTCGAACGTCGTGCGATCCTCGATCAATCTAAGAATATCACCGATGCTACTACATCGCCGCCGACTTTCCCCAGCACTTCTCCTGGGCAGTACTATCCATCATCTTCATGGATGGGCACGATCCCAGACCGGGGTTATGCAAATCAGCAGGTTGCGGAAACCGCCCAATGGGCGGATACTAGCTTGAGCTTTGATCTGCCTACTGAGTTTTGGGCTCTCAATTCTCAGTTTACGTTTCAGCCTCCATTTTTGGCTGATTATGATGTTAATTGGGATTATTGGGATATGATGTTATGATGGACGCATGCAAATAGAGCAGGTTTGTGTCCAATGCAAGTCTTGGTTTCTTTTTTTTCTTCTCTTTTTGGTATTTTGACACGTCACACTATGTCTCTTCTATACAAAATGTACTTAGAGTCATTCAATGTGCGTTAGATAGTCCTGTCTTTGATAGATATATTGGTCTGCCCAGCAACATGGCCACTTTCGTTCACTTATTATCAATGCCATTGCTTTCTTTCAACGTTTACTTTCTCTTTATTGGAGATTCTTGGCCATGGCTGAGAAATTCGAAGCTCAGGGGCCCACCTACGAATTGCACCTAGACCCCTGATCAACGCAGATCCTCCAGAGCCCCCATAGGACGAGTCCCACCCTAAGCTAGCCCGATATGGAATAGTGATCCATGGTCCGCTCGGGCCTCTCAGATTATGGCTCAGCAGGCAAGGACCGTTCTCACTCTTCAGACTCGAATTGCAGATTGGACTGTCTTCAATTTCTGTGATAGGCCATCTCTGCTTATTGTTGATTATCCCAACCTTGTAGTGGGTCTAGGGTTTCACCAGGGGGAAGCCAATTATTCGAATAGGGTACTTTTGATCGGGCGCATAAGGATTTATGCACCAATGAAAGAGACAACTCGGTTCTAATTGCTGTTTGAATTACTCCATAGACTCGCACGTATTTTGCTACGCTGTCCCAAACTGGGCCTAGGTCGATATTCGGGTTCCGCTTAGCTAATAGCCCAATAACGAAGAATAGATGACCTCGGGACATTAACTTCATTCTTAGGTTATGGACAGTAGATTGAATAAGCACATTCGATATACGTCATTAAACGGAGCAAGTAAGTAGCTACAGTGTCCAATTGGGTATAAACCATGTCATTAGGAGCGTAAGATACAGGATTTGGAAGAGAAAGAATGCCATACGAATGCCTAGTCTTGTCAATAGACTCAAGTTCATCTGGTTCTTTCTTTTTGAAACAGTCAGCTCACACGTGCCATCCACGGCCATGACCCCGACCTCCCCGACTTGCTGCCGCTACCTGCTGTCTGCGCTGTAACTTCTCGGTGAGCTGATCAAGCAGCTGGGCCGGGGTCTGCCCGGCTGCATCCGGTTGATGCATCGAGCCTCCAGCCTCCACCAAGACTCTAATCCACTCATCCCGTGCTCGTACCGATGCATCCAGTGTCAGCGCAGGATCTGGCATTTGATTTCCATCTAGGCGTCGGATAAGAGTCCCTTTCATAACCTCATGAAGAGGCGTATTTCCCTTGAAATGACCATACTCACATCCGCTCCGCGGCTGACCAATTGGCGAGCGGCCTCGATCTGATTCAGATACCGGACGAGGTAGTGCATTGCCGTACCACCATCGGGATCGGTATCATTGATGTTTGTCGGCGATTCCAAAAGGCGGTCCAGCATGACCAGACTGATGGGCTCATACCAATTCCCGGCACATAGCCGATGAAGGCATAACCGAGCATCAGCCCCATGGGCGAGCAGAATCTCGATTGGCTCCGTGAACCGCTCACCACGAAGCTTTTCGAGTCGCCGATAGCGCTGATCCACTGTATCATGCAAGACTGTTGTCATCCCGGTGGTGGTGCCCACCGGGTCAAATTCCTCATTAGGAATATGATTCAAAATCGAAGCTCGCGGTCCAGCATCGAAGAGTATCTTCAGAACAGCCAAGATACCCGCAATTCCCGCCGCGCGGGACTTGACCGCGTAATTGAACACAGTAGCCCCCTGCCGATCACGGGCATTGATCGTATCAGGGTTGGCCTCGAGAAGCCACTTGACGGTGTCCACCATCCTCCTCGACCGGGGCGTCATCCCGTCCTCCGCTGGGATCTCCTCTGGATCATTTCCTTCCTCCGCGTCTACCATGTGAGGCCCCTCGTCCGCAGCGCCCAGCAAGGCCCAGTGTAGTGGGATTCGACCATGATCATCCGCACGGGAAACCATCTCCGCCACACTCACGCCCCCATGGTCCACCAGCGCGCGCATTCCCTCGAGGTTCCCATACAAGCTAGCAATATGCAAAGCGGTCACCCCCTTGGTGCCTTCTTGAATGATACACTCGCTAGAATTCCACACATAGCTATCGGACCAGCTCTGCCACGCATGAACATCAGCTCCAGCATCGATCAGACGCGCCGTCATGCGGTAGCTCGCATGCGGGATCGCGGCATCGAGAACCGAATATTTGAGCTCTTTTTCCTCTTCATATTCTTCTACCTCGGCATTGGTATCATCACTATCAGCATCGCCAGCAACAGCAGCCCTTCCTTCTTCACGCCTCTGCTCTTCCCGTCCTCGAACAGAGGAATAATAAATATCCGACTCCCTCACCTGACAACCTAGTTCATCCAACAGAAAATAAATAAACGCCTCCCTCCGCTCAACATCTCCTCCAAGCCGCAGCCCGCCAACAGCACAAATCAACGGCGTCCGCCCACCACAATCTACATCCCGATCTAGCCTCCCCAACAGCGGGGCATCTCCCCCATTCAGTTCCTTCACCGATAACAACCAGAGGGTAAAATCCCGATCCGCTGCCTCACATGCCACATGGATAGGCGAGAATTTCAAACACGCCAGGTACTCCCCCAGCGGGGGATATTCCGGACTTGCCCGGTAAAACGGATCTGTCAGGTAAATCAGCAGCAAGACGCGGAGGGCGTCGCAGCTGCCGTGATCTTCCGCGACCCGGAAAGGATGCCCGTACGATGGCGAGTATGCTTCCCAGAACACCCGCGTATGGAGGCTCGCGTGGTAGAGCTGGAGAGCGGCAGTATCATTTGCCGCTACGATATGGCCCAACAAACCCTGTTCTGGATCTTCATAGAGTGGGGAATTGTCGGTGTCGTGGGAGGCAAGTTCGACGATTCCCATGTCTGCCATTTCTGGATGGGGTTGGTGGGATTTGGGATATGTCATCTTCTAGGATTGAAGAGAGAAAGTGTGTTTCATTGAGGTTTAAGAGAGTTAACCAAGAGCATACTGGGACAGAGGGAAAGGTGGAGAAAAGAGGTAAAGTAGGATGAAGGATGAGGCTCCCATGAAGAACAAAACTGAGAAACCCCACTGTAAACTCATTGGCCTATTTCCACAATCGCTGATTTTATTAAAAAATGAGAAATAAAAGATAAATATCTAATATGTTAATATGTTAATACCAGGGCTTTGGGCAAAGCTAGAATGGATAACATTCCTAGGTATATCCAGGTATCAACTTCACTTTTGACCATGGATAGTTGATTGAATAAACACATTCGATATACGTTCTTAAAGGTAGCAAGTAGGTAGCCACAGTGTTAAATTGGGTATAAATCATATCATTAGGAGCGTAAGATACAGCGGTAAAAGGAGAAAGAATGCCAAACTATACAGGTATCGTAGAGGAAAGGAGTGAGGATGAGCTCAAGAAGCATCGGGTGTGATATGAGCAATACTAGAGTCCGATTCCAGCCTATGAAGAACTGAGTCTGTGATGTATGCTCTAAAGCACAAATCAGTAAGAAATCTAATTACTTCTCTGTAGAAAAGGCACTTACGAAAAGCCTCTCGCGATCATATCCGGAAATCTATTTGTAACAGAGCCTCCCTCTTTGTGGATTTGTTGTATGTAGGAATTGATCTCCTCAGTCGCAGCTGAGTCTTGGAAGGTTACCTTCTTTGTAAGTAGGGTTCATGGGGAGGAAAAGGGGATGGGGATTTACAATATATTTCGTGGTCATTTTATCGCTTGTGTATAATATAATCTATATGGGTGTTTGATTGAATGAAAGACTTAGTACCCATTGTACGATCGGGCCTGTGACTATATATATATGTCTCTTTGAGCCAAGAACGGTGACGTCATTGCATGGGGTGCCCCGGATGTTCCATACACAAACATCCAGGGTGGCAACTACCATTACATCTACGAAGTATATGTATTTAGACTGGGCCAATCTATTCTGAAACAGTGTATTCTCCACCTTTGAAGTGGATTTAAGTGGATAATATTTGACCATTGCCTTGGTCATTTTCTGAGTTCCATGGATCATTGCCGTGACGCGTACCCTCGAATACATCAATCGGCACGATCCGTTGACAACGTGGCTGGTTTACATCTGCTATATGGTATCATATTTCTCGAAGTATCTAAATAATAGGAGATCGCACTCTACGTTGCAGATTTATACCTTTATATATAGGTCTATGTAAAATAGGGCTGGGTAGTCAAGGAAATCAACACTTATCGTATACGTGAGGTAAACAGAAGGAAAAGGGACCCAAGGTAATCCAGGGTGTAGCAGGTGACCGAGAGATCTTATTATGAGACTTTCAATCCTTGGGATGGCAAAAGCTCCGTAAGATTATTCCAAGCCCGCTTGAAAGAGGGATCCTTGGTGGAACACTCACTCAACCATCGTAGAGCTTTTTGGACTCTTTCCAATGAATCGCTTCTTTCACTGGTCCTCAATTGATTTTGGGTGAGTAACTGTGTTATAAGCACTACGGTGCTTTGCGTGAGGTAGTGGAGAACACACCACCAAGGTGAGCAACCCAAGAGCCAAGAGATGTTTGGTTTATTGGGCAAGAGATCAAGCATTTGGCCTGCTGCATTGAGGCAAATAATTGCCATCGGGGTGTCAAACTCAGTGGGAAGGACTTCACCAGACATATGAGAACGAAGAGCAGGTTGGGAAATGACAAGTTTGGTCGAATAATATTGGAAAGCCAAGCTGGTGCGTTGACGGACAAAGGATCGGTCATCTCTGGCTTCCGTGAAACGGTAGGTCGTAGGAAGCCGAGCAAACCAGTTGTCAGCAGCGCTGTTCAGCGATATCATGGCCAGTTCGGTGTCATTCCGTGATTTTCGTCCCGCTTCGGGAGAATATAAGATCTCGATTGCTTCTCTCATCACAGCTGCCAGATCAATGGAATAAAGTAAGTACAATGAGACGTTAGCTTGGAGCAGCTGTTGGCTGGGTGAGGCCGATTGAGAGGTGGGCTGTGGCGAAGGTGAATGAACCAATGGGTCGTTCGATTCAATCAAAGGATCGAAGGAGAGTAGAGAAGCCATGAGACGACCTCTGGATTGAATGTCCAAAATAAGCCTCATGACATGCTCATCCCGGAAGTCCTCCTCCTTGTAAGGTACCGGAAAAGGGGTCGTGCAGTGTTCCTGCTGCATTCTTGGCATGCGCCCAGTCATGACACAGAGCAGGGTGTCCAATAGGTACAGCGCCCACCATAACCGATATCTTGTTTCTTTGGACACATGGGTGATGCTGGTGCTTTCGCTACGAAGATGGATTCCCATCGCGACCGCAGACTGGATTGCAATACCACATTTTCTCCATGCCCTAAACCAAAATCAGTGTCTAAGTAAAGGCACACGATATTCGACCTACCTATTGGCCTGTCCGATGGAAAGCAAGTAAAGTGATATTAGCCCTTCTACCTGTGTCTGCTGCAGGTTGGGGTTCTCCAATAACACATTCTCGCTCGTGTATAATCGCCAGGCACGGGCAAAATACACCATGTGGATGTTGTGATCTAGCTGAGATTGGTCTCCGGAAAGCTCGAAGTGTCTTGCAGCGATCGCAAACACCATATTCAATAACGCCATCCACTTGTTTCCGGGGTGTGTTGTTGAGTTCGAATAGAATGATCGACACTGGCTTAGAAAGATTTCTTTGCCAACGACGGGGAAGGAGGCGTGCGCAACTTGGAAATATCTGTCCACAAGTTCATCGGCGACCGCCTGCGAGGGATATGCGAAGACATCTAGATCCTTTATCGGCGGGATTCCGGTATTATCCATAAAGATCGCACAGGAAGAGATTGATGGGCGGCGTGATTCCTCGAATTGGCCGTCCGGATTGGAACTGGTCTGAGCGATCAAGCATTTAAGCCTGTATAACCATGCCGTTGCCGAATGTTCCCCTACAAAGCCAAGGGCTTGCAGTGACATATCTCCATTAAAGTCCTCCACGGTGTGATCCACGTAGGAAGGCGTTCGGGTTGACGAGTCTGTCTCATCTGGTACTTTGGCGACGGTCGGCGATGACAGGGAAAGGCTAGATATCTGTGGGCTGTCAGGCCTGTCAAAGAGGTCTACCTTTGGATGACCGGACCATGGGGTCTTCACTCACTTTTTTGAGAGCTTGATCGACGACTTTAGCCAGCTCGGCGTCGAATTTGGGATAAATATCGCGCACGAGAGATTCGTAGTGTTGGAGTTGGCTCGTTATAACTGTAAGTTGTCTAAGTTCTTAGGTAAATATTTTGGGCGACCACGTCTAGGAAAATCACAGACCTGGCATTTCTCTCTCGTTTCCCGTCGACGTAGACGCAAAGGACATTGGCCTCCTGACACCGTAGGCAAGAAGGGCGATGACCAGAACACTTGTTCTTCTGTTTGCGACAATTGTGGCATGCTCGACTAACTCGACCGTTATTGCTTGCAAGTGGAAGGTCGAGTCGAGGAATGGCCACTTTGGGGTTCATTGGCTGCTCCCCGGTGACTCGAGATGTGCCCCAGGGATAGTATGCACCGAAGGCTGTCGATGTCGACTCGAGTGGGGTCAAAGGCGATGCCTCTCTACTCTCAAGCTCTGCTGTAAAGGGATCCGTATCATTTTGAGGGACAGATGGAAGGGGTTCAGACTGCGAAGAGTGACCAAGAGATGACCTTTGGCTCATTGCAAGTTGGCCCGCTATTCATTGTCAGTGCACAGTTCTAAGCGAGAATAAAAAAAGTGAGACGCACAAACCAGCGCGCTTGTGAGAAAGGGATCGGGAAGAAAAGCCCCCTTTAGCAGTGAAATATCCCTGCCGATGGTAGGATATTATGAATGATCGGAGTATAGCTTGTAACAGTACTGTTTTGGCAAGAGAAATGACACCTGTGATTGGCAGGCTCACGTTGCCGGCTGAATATTCTCAGGTTGTTCGGTATTGGTCAAGTGTACCGAGATCGAAACGGCCCACTGTGGTCTCGATTTAGTAAAGACATATTGGATTGGAAGTTGCTGGAATCATCTGATGCTAGTCAGCTTATTATATCGATTATATTCTACGGTGGCTTAAATGGATCGTGTTGATTTATTACAATACCATAAGTGAAATCAATTCGACAAGTTCAATGGGGTAACTTTGACCCCAAGTCCTAGTTGATAATGTTTTGACCTCGGGGAGGTCCAGCCCCATATGGGATGTATACTTCACGCTGAATGGTCGCCTAAAACTTCCAGCCAATTAGAGACGTCACTCTGGACCATTCCCATCCAATAGAACTAGACATTGATCTCTATAGGGTTTGATATCCATTACACCCATGGATTGATATTATATCTGGAAAATAAGCATATATTCTATCTATTGTTCATATAGTTTATACTAGGGGAAATCTGGAAAGCCCCTGTTTGGTTCCGGTACACTCTGGACCACAATTATGTCTAGGCTCTCCTTTTCCTGTTCATGCTGCTATAGTAGTGATTGGGCTATTCTTACGTGTGTACTCTGTAGACAAACTATCACTACCGGGCGCACTTTTGGCCTGATTGATATGGCCACGTGACCAATAGTAGGATATAGATCATGTGACCCGAGAGATCCAAACAGCTGTCAGCCTTATAATTCGCTCTAACGGGCTAGGTACCCCGTAGACCCCTGTGCCCATCATTACTACAATGTACGTTGTACGTGTCTTTACTTACAACATACAACATAGCCTCGTACCATATCATCATCTTTCTCCAGCAGCTCATACATCATTGAAGCGCTTCTTCTCGATCATCCCACTTCATTATCCACCTTATCGTCGCAAGATGTCTCAAAGTTTTTACCAAACCTTTCCATATGTTCGCCTACCTCATTCACCAGCCTGATTCCTATTCAATCTGACTTGCAGATATAAATTGAGAGATAGCCGAGTGTGTTATATTAAGTTGTACGTAGGTAGGTAAGAAAATAGCCAAGATTGACACATTGAAGTCAATTGGTTATTCATGATCGATGACATCATATGCTATATTACACCTATTCAGCTGGAATTCATCCCTGTAGCCAAGGGAAATACGAGCAAGGCTGGCAGAAACAATGAATAGTGTCCCAAATTTCAGACTCGGTGCATTTACTTTGGATTGTCAATGGACAGCTTTTGAACAGAGTATAAGTGGGAGCTATCAACGCCAAGACCGGGATTCCGCTGAGAAAGGCTGAGAGAGACAAACAGCAACCCCTGGCAAGGCCCAATCTAATATTGACATACAAATGTGGGGTGGAAATAGCAGTCTTTGTGTGTGCACCTGCAATTTGATAGGTGGGTGATCTCTTGTATCATCGTCATAGCCCCGTTTCCCAGGTCAATGACGTAGCTCTGGGGAGAGCTTCCATCATCCCGTCGATCTTGAGATTTTCTATATTTCTCTACAATTCTTAATCTCTTCGCTCAATTTCTCTCTATTCTCAGGGTGATGTTGAGAAGGTGCACTCGTCTTCCACAACGTTGCACAGTCAGAACGAATTAACCCTGTAGCTACGAGAAGAGAAAACCGAAACCCAATTCAATTTCCTGTCATTCGCTGGCCTCCAAGATGGCTACAGGTCAGCAGCCTAAGTCTCCCCAAAGTCGTCGGGTTGGGGAGCATTGGAGTGGTGCCAATCCCATTCCCACCATTAGTAACTTTATGCAACATGTCGATGCCGAGAAGAAGGAACGCGATCGCAGAATAGACGAAGAAAATAAGGCCAAGAAAGAAACGGCTGCACGTGTAAAGGCGCAAAAGGCATCTGGAGAGCAGGCAGATCAAGGGGATAAAAAAGATGGAGATGTTGTCGCTCATAAGCCACGCGAAGTCTCCCAGGCCAAGATGCGTACTGTGACAGATCCGACCACGGGCAAGGATATCGGTGTTGAAGATCAAGACGAGACATCTATGGAAACTGTTAAGAATCCAATGGTATGTGGGATTATCTCGAACAAATCATGAATGGGGTCTAATGCACTCGCAGTTGACGGTTCCGAATGCAAATCTTGGGAAACCCACGGTGAGTTGTCTATAAAGAGTATCGTTCATCGGGACCTATTACTAAGATATATCCCAGACTGTCCAAACAAGTCCCGATCAAGATCTTGCAGAGTACAAAGAAAAACAAGATATCACTGCGCCCCCCGATCCCATTGCCGAAGGTACAACCTCCGATGTTCCCATTCGAGGAGAGAAGACGAATGTGCTGTTCCACCCCACTCCAACTGTTTCGTATCAGCCCATGTTTGATTCACTACAAAAGCGCGCAACGAGCCTTTGCATTGGGATACCTATTGCCATAATTATACTAGGGCGGATGTGCGGAGGATCTCTTTGGGGCCTTGTTCCCTTAGCCGCATGCATCACGAGTGGAGTATGGCTATGGATGCAGGAGGTCATTCGCAGTGGCCGAGCAATGGAGTGGAGCAGTGAGAAGCTTCGTGGCCAGATGGTAAGTTTGCTATTGTATGATCTTGTTGAATAATATAAATACTGACAGCTCAAAAGGCCACTGCCAATCTCCTTCCCGAATCCGTCGAGTGGATGAACAGTCTCCTCGGCGTTGTGTGGGGACTCGTTAACCCAGAGATGTTGACACCTGTGGCCGACACGATCGAAGATATCATGCAAGTCTCTGCACCCAAGGTTGTGGAGAATGTTCGCATCGCAGAAATCGACCAGGGGAGCAACCCACTCCGCATTCTGAGCATGCGGGCTCTCCCCGACGATCATGTGCAGAATTTGAAGGACAACATCCACGAGGAAAACAGAAAGAACAAGGACCCACAGGAAGCTGCTGCTGCCGAAGAAGGAGGGAGTTATTACAACATGGAAGCCTCCTTTGCCTATCACGCAAGCCCAACTGGCCAGAGTGCCTCGTCAAAAGCACGCAATATGCACATGCAGCTAGTCTTCTACCTGGGTATTCGAGGCTTGTTTGGTGTGCCATTTCCCGTGTTTGTGGAGCTGATTGAACTTGTCGGGACTGTCCGCATGCGATTCCAAATGATGCCCGAAGCACCGTTCATGAAGGATGTGACTTTCACTTTAGTCGGCATTCCCCACGTCAGGGCTGGCTGCATGCCAATGTTCCGGACGGGAGTGAATGTTCTGAATTTACCCTTGATCTCCAACTTCGTCAACTCCGCCATTAGCACAGCGTGTGGCATGTTTGCAGCTCCCAAGTCAATGACCATGGATCTTGGCATGATGTTGACAGGAGATGACATCCACAAAGATACTTTGGCTCTGGGTGTGATGTGGATTCGCATTCACCGCGCTGTCGGCTTGAGTAAACAAGATGCTCGCGGCAGCGAAGGTGGTGGTAGTGATCCATACATCAACCTGTCCTTCTCGAAGTATGGCAAGCCCATGTATTGTACGCGTGTGATTACGGATGACCTCAACCCAATTTGGGAAGAGACTGCCGCCCTTCTCGTGACACCGGAATTAATCAAAGCCGATGAAAACTTGAGCATCGAGCTCTGGGACTCTGACCGCAACACCGCAGATGATATTGTCGGAAAGGTCGAGCTACCTATCCGCGAGATGCTTCAGCATCCCAGTCAGATGTATCCCCAGGTGTCGAAGCTTCAGGGTATGGACGAGGGCAGTGAAATGCCCGGTCAGCTTCATTGGGAAGTTGGATACTTCGGGAAACCAAAACTCCGCCCTGAGCTGCGTAGTGACGGCAAGAAGAAAGACCTTCCTAAAAACTTGAGAGGTGATCCGACCTTTGAAGACGAAAAGGGAGCCATCAACAACGAAGAAGAGGATGCCGTCATGCACACACCACCTGACCCAATCTGGCCTAGCGGTATTGTGCACATTGTTGTGCACCAGATCGTCAACCTTCAGCTTGCCAATATCAAGGGCAGCGAGGGGAACCGCAAGGGCAAGGAGTATGAGCCGGCGAAGCCATATGGTGAGAACACAGAGGAGGAAGGCGAGGATCTTCCAACGAGTTACTGCAAGGTTTTGTTGAACGATCAACTGGTACGTATCCCTAGATACATACGCTTCAGCTCCAAGCTCCAAGTACTAACAGCATTCTTCAGATTTATCGCACTCGTGCGAAGGCTGTAAGCTCCAAGCCTATCTTCAACGCAGGAACTGAACGATTTGTTCGCGACTGGCGCTCAGCCGTCGTGACCATCACAGTCCGAGACCAACGCTATCGCGAGCATGATCCCATTCTTGGCGTGGTCCCCCTCAAGCTGTCTGATATCATGCAAACTAGCTCACAAGTGACCCGCTGGTATCCCCTCGACGGCGGTATTGGGTTTGGACGCATCCGCATCTCTCTTCTATTCCGCCATGTGGAAACCAAGTTACCACCTACAATGCTTGGCTGGGATGTTGGCACCTTTGAATTTGTTGGACAAAACATCACCGCGAAGGAGTATGGTCGAAACAGTAAGATCAAGCTGCGCACCGGTGGCAGTATTGGCAAGGTCACCCGACACAAGTGCCACATGCAAGGCAGTGATGCAGTATTCGATACCTCCGACGAGACTTTCCGCGACTCATTGCGCATGCCCGTGAAGCACCGATACCGCTCCCCGATTGTGTTCGAGTTCCATAACCAGGGCAAGCGAAGCGCAGCAGCATACGCTGTTCTCTGGCTCCAACATCTTATCGATAACGAGGAAACAGAAATTGACCTTCCCATCTGGACGACAAAGATGGGTGCTCGGTTGACACAAAATTACGTCACGGAGCAGAACTGGAAGGCCAAGGAAACACCCGGACTTGAAGACTTGACGGAGGTGGGACGTTTGCAATTCCGATGCAAGTTCTCGCCGGGCATTGACGAATCGCACGAGCGTTTCGTTGTTGACAACGACTCCCGTGAGACCTTCGAGACCTGGGAAGCGTGTCTGTCACAGGGTGTGCGTTCCCGCACCGTTGATATCGAAGTTCCTGCAGAAGTACAGGAAAAGCACGAGCAGTCTTTGATCGACGGACGAGATATCTTGAAACAAGCCTCGCCCGCTGAGCGTCAGCGGTGGGTTGATCACAACGGCCAAGACTGGAGTGGCGCGTTTGGTCAAGACCCGCGTGCCTACACTGATTCCATCGGACGCAAGGTCGCTGAACCTGGTCGGGACCAACCTCGTCATGACCCGTACACCCCTCCCCCGCTCAATGATCACGCTTCTCGTCGACACAGTTTCCAAAATGGACAGTATCATGACGAGGATACCTCAGAATCAGATGACGAGCTTGAGCCCTTGACCAACGGGCCCTCGACAATTAGTGGCAGTGCTGGAGCTGGGTCGTCTTTGTCTCAGAGCAATATGAGTACCAGCCAGGTAAACAGGGCGAATAAACACAGTGAGCAACGACAGCAACGTGGTATCATGCAGTGGCGGCCTGCGCGGAATGCTACTTTCGCCAAGAATGAGGCCAAGTTTGCGCTCCAAAAGATGAAGAAGAAGATCGGAGTTGGCGGTCTCACTGGTCGCGAGCCAGATGTCGAAACAGAGACTTGACGACGTATGAATTGTTTCTATTTGTTTTCGGCGTTTTATGTTTCATTTGCATTTGCATCAATCAACTGTACAAAATCAACATCCGTTATTTACAGTTTAACCACGAAGAGATATTGAACGCTCATGGCCATCATTCACTACCACCATGTACCTTTTGTATGCGAAGCCTATGAGTGGTACACAATTTCGTATCTTTTGGATGTTAAATCTTCTCCCACGGCTATTGATGTTGGCAGGATTGCTGCCGTTCCGCATATATTGCCCACCAAAAAAACTCATCTCGGATAGGCCTAGAAGAAAATCTGCAGAGCGGAAGCGACGGGGTCGCTGGTCCCACGGATTCAAGAGATGAACCAGGAGCAAACCTGGAGCACAATAGTACCCGTGAAACCGGCGGGTCTAGGAGGTATAAGAAAGCGAAGCAAAGGCGGCGCCAGAATCGCAGGGAATAATGTAAATGAGGATGAGTAATGATAGAATGTGTACAGACGATTCAGATGATACTATTATTTTTCATTTGCTCTTATACAGGTTCAATTCCAGGCTCGAACAAGTATGAGAGGTCAAATTAGGTCTCGATATTGATATATGAACAGAGCCCCTATATCTGTAAGACTACGAAGATCTTGACAGATATCCCAAAGATAATGTTCAATCGTCCAGGACAAGATTCCCTGTCCCAGGATATTTCGTTGCCACTCAGAAACATCCGGCGAGATCCGCTATTGTGAACACGAAACAAAAACTTTCATGACACCTGTAAAGGTAGGAAAGACCAAGAATTGGATAAATTTTGCGGCCACTCGCTATTTTGTTTTGCGGTGCCTTATGAGATTGGAAGTGCATACAATATGTATACATCGAAAGGATCCATGGATATAATGCATAGAAGATAAGATGCTAGAACCACAGCCAACGAAAAAAAAAGGAGCGCAGATGCGCGAAAGAAAAATCGGATAACCCCAAACAGCGCCTCTATACAACATGATTCATGAGGAAATTACTCCGTGTATGCATCGCCATTATTATGCAGCAAAAAAATGGCGGGAAAAAAAGGAAAAACAATAAAAACATCAGCCATAGAACCATGAAGACTGCAAATTAATGACTGGGCGCAAAGTCGGTGGAGACTCGGAGAGTCTCAGATCCCGAGTTGCCCTGAGCCGCGTGCAACAATGAGACATTCTCGGACCCAAAATCATTCGAGGCCTTATCGCCAGACAGATCGACCGGCCCAAGAGTCCATTTCCATTCCCTGCGGCGCTTAGCCCGACCCTGCATTGGAGTCTGCGGCGTAGACGAGCCATCAGCCTCAAATCCATCCAGCAGAGCCACCGCGCGAACCTGTCGCTCTGTCCGCATGGTGCGACGTTTTTTGCGCTCCATCTTTGAGAGCGAGGACCCGCGCACGCCTTCATCGGCACTAGTGTCATCCGAGGTACTTGTCTCCGATAATGAGGGGCTAGAATCGGAGGTCTCTTTTTCGCCTTCGAGGTTCTGGAAGGGGGCGGGGCGTGTCTCAGATGGGGAATTGGAATTGGTGTCTGCCTCGGCTTGCACTGCCTCCTCCTCCTCCGTCACAAGATCGAGATGCTGCGCAGTGTAGCGTTCTGTGCGAATTTCTTCTTCCAGTGGGTACCGGTAGCTGACTTGTTTCTTTGCTGGGAAAAAGACGCGACGGGTGCCTGCGCCGTTGGGCCCATTCCCGCCCGCTGATATGGAGCCTGATCGTCGCCGGGCGGAAGGTTCTAGTGGGGAGTTTCGTAGAATGCTGCGCACTCCGATGGGGAGTTGGTAGGGACTTCGGTGGTTGAAGATATTATTGTTCGGGTGTAGTATGTAGGGGGAGGACGGTTTGTTGTAGCGGGAGGGTTTGGTGGGAGAAGTTGCGGATGACGGGGATGCGACTTCATAGGCATTCTTGAAGGTATTTCGAACAGTGGGGGATGACGCTGGCGCTGCTGCGAAGGAAAAGGATAGGCCAGTGGTTGAAGTGCCAAACGTGCGAGGAAGAGAGGTGGTTTGGAGGGTGAGTTTTGGTCGGGAGGTTATTGTGCTTGAGGCATCTGGCGACAGACACGACATGATGAAGAGTATAGAGAAATTAGAATGATCAAGTATGTATCATTGAAGATCAAAGAGAGAAAAAAAAAAAGGTCGAGATATGTTTGGCGGGGTTGAACTAAGAATAGAGGAGGTTGGCGCTTGGATGTGATGAAAGATGCATGTCACAGCGAGATTAGGAGAGATTCAAGAGATTAAGACGATTTAAACATATTAACTTTGGAGTATTTGACACATTTCCATGGTTATTACCCCATAATATACTCCGAAGGACTCCGTTACAAAAAGTTAAGAGCAGAGATTTCTATCGAGACTCAAGTGGATGCGTAACTATCGACGCCACCATCCACACTATCTTCGTCTTTTCTAATTTAATGTACGAGTACGGTGTACGAAAGACGGCATACAGGACGGAGGACGGAATTAACAACTATTTTTTTTTTAATTATCTACTCCATAGAATAGTTTAATAGGTTTAACATTTAATATAAATAAAATCAGAGTGATCAGGATCCGAAATAATATCTCATCTATAAAAAGAACAGGCCCGTGGGTCTCGGATCTACATCTATATGGGTACGTACTTTGGTGGCAAAGACTAAAACAGGTGATTGTACTCCGTATGTTGTAGAGAAACATTTGAATCTATATTGAACTATGCTGTATACTGTTGAATTTCATTTTGAAATATTTCTTTGTATCTACTTTGTCTATACATGTGTAGTACCGAAGATCAAAGCCCCAATCTAAAACCTTGTCTAGTATATCACACGTGACGGCCGCAAGCATCAAAGAGGGGTTTTCTAGGCTATGATTGGTAGGAAAAAAATTCACTGGTGATGTTGGATATATTATTGTTGGGGCAGTGTGACATGAACTCCACCTATGTTGTAGTGGTCTTAACGACCTTTTCTATGTTGTATGTGACATTTCCCACTTTGGTAATGGCCATTCCGGAGGAAGCCTTAAGGGTATGATCGACCAGGACAAGGCAGCATGGGGTCTTTAGGTGTGGAGATGTCTAAAAGAGAGAAAACAGCCTTGGATATATTTGTTTATGAGAACCAATCAACTTCGAAATAACCTGTAGCTGCCTTATGCCGGTTATACATAGAAAAAGTAGCCCTTCTCCGCCGTTTTCTGCTATCTACCTTATAAATCTTGAGAAGAGAGAAGATATCTAAAAAAAGGATGTATCAAAAGACATAAAATTAGACTGCCAAAAAGACTACTAAAAAACCAAAGAAAAAAAATAGAAATAAAAATAACCCCAGGCAACAAGGCTAATAGTGCTAAGCCATCGACGCCACACACACACCAGCCACAAAAATGGGTTCCAAACTTGGGAGTTGCCTTGGGTTCCTATTCTCAGCTGTTTTCGGCTTCGGGTCTTTTACCAGGCACCCGAAAATCAACCTTGGAAGTCCTATGGATACAGCTGAATCAGCTCAAAGCTCATGGCTGCACTAGTGCGGAACGACAGTCGAATCATCCTCCACTTGGTGACTCTCCCCACTGTAACCTAGGTACCACCCTTTAACTAACCATATCCAGGATTATGACTGTTTCTATGCCTCAGTCTTTGAGGTTGAGCAACCTGAACTGAGGTCACTTCCCCTAGCAGTTCAGCAAAAGCAGATTGTGGTAACCTGCAACTACGAAGCCCGACGGCGAGGTCTGCATAAGTTGCAGCTCATCAAAGATGCCAAGCGCATCTGTCCCGATGTGGTAATAGTTCTAGGTGAAGACTTGACCAAGTTTCGAAATGCCTCCAAGGAGCTTTATATGCTGGCTCGCTCCTTTGTCTGGGGCGGCCGCGTCGAAAAGCTAGGCTTTGACGAGCTCTTTCTCGACGTCACGGAAATGATTGACTACAACATTGGCGTGCTGAATCAAAATGACTTGATGAATTCATATTTCCATCTTGATCGAAAGGACCCGACCGTTGGGTTTTCCTACGATGCCACTCGCTTCCAAGGATCAACCTTCCCCGCAATAGAGACAGCCCCCGTCGCTCAGAAAGATTTGTCTTCGTTGGAAATGAGGTTGCTCGTTGCCTCTCATTTACAGGGTCATATACGGAGTAAGATGGAGCATCAAATGGGCTTCACGGCTACGGGCGGGATCTCAACCTCCAAACTCCTAGCAAAGTTGGTCGGTAATGTTCACAAGCCCAACGGCCAAACGACTCTTCTGCCGCCATATACGGCCACCGAAAATACTACTAGCAACGTGTTTCAGTTCCTGGATGATCACGAGATCCGGAAGATTCCTGGAATTGGTTCTCGCATTGCCCAGAAACTGATTTCCCATATCACAGGGCAAGAGAACGTCGACGAGAAAATCACAGTCAAGGATGTCCGCCAGTTCTCTGGCATGGGCCCATCTTTACTGGACAGAATCCTTGGTGGGCCAGGCTCAGTGAAAGGGATCGGGATGCGCATGTGGAGCATTCTCCATGGTGTAGATAATTCCGATGTCCTCGAGGGTCGCAATGTGCCCACCCAGATCAGCATCGAGGATTCTTATGGTCGGTTAGATACCCTTGAGAGTGTACGCCGGGAGCTAGTAGTGTTGTCGCGAAGCCTGATCCGCCGCGTAAGAACCGACCTGCTTGATATGAGTGATGACACTGCCCCCCAAGGGAGATGGCTTGCTCACCCTCGCACTCTGCGGTTGTCGACCCGTCCAAGACCTCCGCCAGACTTGGGTTCTACAGGGCGTACATACAACTCCAATCGCATATCTCGCTCAGCGCCTCTGCCACCCTTTATTTTCAACTTGGATGAGAACATCGATGCATTGGCCGAGCGGCTGGTCCGGGAAAGTGTTTTCTCTATGTTCCGCAAACTACATCCCGAAAAGGCTGGCTGGAACCTCGGTTTGTTGAATGTTGCGGTTACCAATATGGTGGAGACTGCGGGGGATCAAAAGCAACATAGTGGACGAGATATCGGGAAGATGTTTCGACAGCAGGAGACAGTACTTAAGGATTGGACTGTGCAAGAACCCGATCCCTCATCATCTGATGTGCGGTTTCCCGGGGGTTCCCCTGAGATACAATCACAGTCAGACGATGGCTGGGATGACGCCGAACCCTTGGGGAGTGTGGACTGCCCTATATGTGGGGTGTTAATCCCACATTTTGCCCAGTTGGCACATCAGATCTATCATTCTGAGAAATAGACATGGATCTATTATTCGGCAGCCTTGAATGCCAAGCGGTCGGAGGCTTTTGATAGGTTAATAGTGGCTTGGCCCTGAGCCACTTACGTGTTTGTACAAAATATTATGTACTATGTACGAAATACTATGCAGGGCAAACAAAGACCCTGGCGGTTTATACTGATTGACTTATCTATGCAGAGACAGGTTAAGATATTTTACGTCAGTTGTATATATTTGCCAGCGTATCGCCCATGGATCTTAATATCTGCCAAGCATATGACAGGCAATATAATTGGATATTGTAATAAAAATAGGTTTATCTCTCTCCACTAAAGAACCAGAGGAACCAGAGAAACCAGTCTCTTATATTAAAATGCATTAAATGCACTAAAATGGGAACTGTTTCAGTCCACTGCCAAGGCCTCTTTGGGATTCCTAAGCCCTTGGCATAGGAGCACTGTACGGCTGAGCCCGGATTATCTGATCCCTCTTTCCTTTCCATCTACTTTGCTTGGGATTTGTCTTAAGCTTCTTATTTCTGATTTCTGATTTCTTAGTCCTTCGTTAATTCTCTCTATTTTGATACTTCTCTACTTGACCCTTAAAACCCCAGGTGGACCCTGAAATTTTCCCTTGCCACTCAGGGCCCTGGAAACTCTATTGAAAAAGACCGGGGAAAGGACCCTGAGATTCAGATATTGCCATGAGGTTTTCTACTATTCTGCCCTTAATCGGTGCATTTTCATCGTTCTTTCAACAAACACAAGGTAAATAACACCCAACTTCCACTTGGACCCTGACCCCCCCCCC